TAAATCATACTTGAAATTTTACTCGAACGACAGATATAAATTTTTTCAAGGACAAACAAAATATTATCTATTCTACGACTGCTATTATTAGTGTATTTATTGATATAGAACTTCTCTAGTTTTAGGCAGAATAATTAATGATTATTTTGGCGAAATCAAAATCATAGATTGATTCTCTGAGTCTTGATAGATGGCACTATATGCAACGTTTATTTTACATTTGTTTATCAGTTACTACTTACTTCAGGAACAAAATACTTCTACAGTACTGCACACGAAAAGATTCTTTTAAGTGCGTAAAAGCTTGTTAAATTATTCTGTAAATCAATTATGCATAAGTAACTGCACGCAAGTCGCACACGATTTCTAATATAGTTTCTCAATAGAACATTATAGATGTACGTAAAAATGATCCTATCTTGTACAGCAAATTTGTTTTATGCATGTAGACGAATTTTATGACTTAATCGATGGTGTTTGGTTGAAATATGATAATCGGATTAGATGTACTCATGATCCCTTTTTATTAAATTCATAATTTTTTTTTGTCCATCTTTTATGTTGAAATATTTTCAGAATATGTCCTCACCTGTAAGAACTAGAATTCTGAAAATTTTACAAAATATATATATTTTGAGATGGACAATCCAACTATCCTATCCAATTATGTTCATGTGATGGCCAAGTTTGACTGAAACTTTTACTTTAGTCCTATCCTCTATCCTATATATTAGGCTCACTAGTAGTCTATCTTCATGATAGACTTTCTTCAGACGAATATGATAGAATTCATTTAAATATTTTTCCCTAAGACTACTAACATGGTGCAACTTGAACACTCAATCAAAAGTTTGAACCGAAAATTCCTCACAAAATAACAAGTTTTCTATGTAGTATAAGATGAACGATGATTACAGGTTATTCGATTTTATTCAAAATCAAAGTTTATTTAACATAAAAATAGCAGCAATTGTAAAATTCAAGGTTATTGGTCATTGCTATAAGCTTCAGCTTGATTGGTGACATGTTCACCTTAACTAGGTGTTCCATTAGATGGGCGCCATTGCGATCTTCAGAAAAGGAAAACAGCAAGGTCAGAGTTAATCACTTTTGACATCATCTTCATAGGACTCAACAATCAACTTATATATCGTTTGATAGTAAACTGAATTTCGAACAATACTTTATAAATTGCTTTGATTAAAAATTGAAAAATGATTTTAAAAAGTATAATATACCTCACGGCTAAGCTCCTCCACAGGTTAAATGGATACATGGAAAATTTTGATAAAAAGTTTCTTTTTTTTTCAGAATCAATGTGATTTTCACAGTATTAAGAGTATTAGTCAAGAGCTACAAATGTACTAGATTGAAGTTTTGAAAAACTCTTGTTCTTGTCATTCGATATTAACATACCACAAAAAAAATGCATAAATTTTATAAGGGCGATCATTGCATAGCCATGATTTTTACTGTTGTGCGAAGCATGGAGACGATTGTTTCAACATAATTAGTATTCAGTAACAGATAAGTCATTGACTGATCAGAGGTTGGAAAAACAACTGCCTTCTTTCTACTGTCCTGAATATATAATCCAATATACGGGAAAAGTAATTTGTAGTGAATATTCTATATATATGATATGTATTGTTATAATAAAAATTCAAGTGATTACTAGAGCATAAAAAGTACTAAATACAGTTTGGAAAAATACTACATCAAAGGTCTGTGGATCTAATTTCTTGTGTGATGTGAAAAAACTGAATAATTTTTATAGTATAAACAGGATTTAGTAATAGATATAGAACTGCTAAATTAATGAGACATGTGATACTTGTTATAGGCATCCTTTTCACTTTGAATTAAAGTCACTTTTAAAGTATTATTCAAACTTTAGTTGTCTATCAAATGGTACATCGATTTTCTATTGAATTGTATGAAAACAATTTTCTCTTTTTCAAGGTCACAAAGGTATTTATTTAATGAAATACTAAAATAAGGTTAATGTTTCATCAATCGAGCTGAAACTTATGGCAATGATAACTAATTTTGACTTTTGTAATGTCTGAAAGTTTTATCTCAAACAAACTTTCTTTTGTAATGAAACTAAATGACTTGTAATCATCTTTCATCTTAAACTATATAGGAAAACTATTATTTTGTGATGACTTTTTTCGACTCAAACTTCTGATTGAGTGTTCAAGTTACACCATATTGGTAGTCTTCAGGGAGAATGATTAAATGAATTCTATCATATTCATCTGAAGAAAGTCTTTCATCAATATAGACTACGTTTGAGCCTAATATATAAGATAGAGAGTAGGACTAAAGTAAAAAGTTCAGTAAAACTTGATCATTACATGAACATAATTGGCTAGGATACTTGAATCTTATCTCAAAATTTAAAAAAATTTTCAGAATTTTAATTCATACTTCCGAGAACATATTGTAAAAATATCTTAAAATCAAGGATTTACAAAAAAAAAGAACTTAAAACGAATAACAAGGTATTATGAGTACTTAGGATCTGATTAGCATATTTCAGCCGAAGAGCATTTACTAGGTCTAAAATTTTATGCTCTAAGATGAGATCATTTTCATCTAAATAAAAAACTTTCGATTAAACAACTATATTGAAAGTCAGTTGTGATTTATATACAATGACTCGTAGATAGAAAAGAAAACTAGATCTTTAGACAAGCAGTTATGTACAGAAAAATGAAAGTCTTCTTATATAGTTTTAATATACTAATATAAATATTTCCTACCTATTCAAATCATTGTTCGATAATGGTAATAGTCTTTAATTATATTCCGAATACTCTGATGTATATAAAAGTAAAAAGCAAAAGGCATAAGAGAATATTTATGTATATATATATATATGTATATATAACGAAAACAGATAATAAAAAAATACCTTGATGAAAAATATTTTTTTTTCTTGATTATAAAATAGCATGAATTTACAGAATGAATATATATTTATTAAAAGCTTTGTTGAATATAAATCTAAAGAAAGTGAAAAACATCACCTAGACATAAAAAAAAAAGATTGCAATTGGAGAATATGATTACAGAAGAATAAAAACAAGCGAATGAAATCTGACAGCACAACAGTTTTATGTTTTTAGTTTACTGCTGTGACTATTTTGTGCGAATCACATTACTTTCTTCAAACAAGTTTTTCGATTTAGTTAATAGAAAAATAAATCTCTTTACAAAAACAACGATCGTAATAATCTATACATAGATGCTTGTTTTTCTTTTTCTCACTTTCATAATTACATACCTATAAATTAACTTGAATTTATTTCATTCATAATTGTAATTAAAACGAATACAAGAATTACTTTTCTTTCGTTTTTTTCACTCTATTGATTAATCACTTATTCTATCGTCATTACAGTCAAGCAAATTAAGTATGTTATGTACATGCATCTTTCATTCTTTTTTTTTCCTATTGACTTTTTCGTTCGATCTACACACACACACATGCTTCCGAATTTCAAGTATGATCACAATCTAAAATCACGTATTCGATGTTGAAACAAAAAAAAAGGAAAAAAGAATGATTCTTTATAGTTGACCAATTTCTACTTTAACTACTTGCCAACTCGATACCATTAACAAGAGCATCAAACATTCAGTTACATCATCCATTATGTGCCTATATCTCATCTCATGATGTCATAAAAGAGTACTACTTGAATAATATTGTACATGTCTGAGAAAAAAAAGAGGAAGCAAACAAAATGCACATACTGACAAAGAATAAGAATATAATGGTCATAAAATTTCACTTCTATTGTCTGTTTCTTTTTTCATAGAAGACTTAGATATATGTAGAGTGCGGTTGCCCACATTATTAATGACAGTAAAAGTATGTTTCAATGATAAAGACTTGTATATAAAGATTCGTTTTATTATCTTCTTTTACAAATCGCTTGTAATCAGTTAAATAGTTGTCATTGAAAAACATAATAAAATTTTCTTGACATTTGATACTTATGTGAATAAATGCTTGAATAAGCTTCAACATATATTAGTCTCATGATATAATTCATCATCAATATTGTATTTCTTTTAAAAACTGAATGTCGATATACAATTATAAAGTTAGTGGTGTAACCAGAAGATAGTGAGTGGTAGAGCTGCACTCTACAGTCTTGAGCGAAATTGATGCAGTAGTGTTGATGATGGTACCTATTACGTTGTTTTGCTCCGATGGCAGAACGAAGGCGACTTATAGCAGGACGACTCCCGATCTATCACATCCTCGGTTACGCCCATTATTGTAGTAAGGATTTGAAATTCCTTATGGTTTTTTTTGCTATATTCTACTCGACTATGAGCAGTTGACTCTAAAGGGCAAAGTCAATTTCGACTGTATTCGATTTGTTTTTGATGAAAAAAAAATAAAAAATGAATGTTTCTTTCTTTTTTTTGTTGTTGTGTCAATAAAACAAAATTTTCTTCCACCTGTATCGTTTTATTTTACAATAATAATAAGCTGAAGGTCAATATAAAAAAAAAGAATGCACGCCAAAAACTATAGGGTTGTTATATATGATAAAATATACTCGAAAAATAAAATATTTTCAAATTATTAATAGAAGCATAAACCGTGATGTAATACATATATATATGACTAATAATTCAAAGTTTCTTGAAGAACTTAAATGAAATATTCGTACATTTGCATATTGACTTTCTAACGTCATGAATTAAATTCGTTCTCATTTGAAATAGAATCTTTTGTTTTTTTTTTCAAAATTTCAAAAAACAAAAAGAAAAAAAAAGAAAAATCAAACAAACAAACAAACAAACAAACAAACAAACAAATAAAAAGATAATAAAGAAGTTTTCACTGCATAGATGTATGTTACGAGCTTTTTAACGTCAAGTATACATATATAAACTAACGTCATTATTATCACGGGGTAATCAGACAGTAGAGCAGATCAAATTAAATTTCTTTTTTTTTATGTATATATTAATCATAAATGGCTGACATGTGGTTTATGAAAAAAAAGATTCGTTGATGAACCTCGTTGTGGTGGTTGAGGTTTGAAAGATGGACTAGTACCATTAAATGATGGACGAGGAATACTCGATTTACGGGGTGGAACAGGTGGAACAGGTTTATTCGTCGTTATTGTTGGCGTTTTGCTATTACTTAATGAATTCGTTGAGGTTGATGATACTAGTGATTTATTAGGTACAGGTGCTTGTGAAATAGATGTTGAAAGTTTAAGAGAAGGTGTAACGAGTCCACTTTTAACAGGTAATGCTGGTTGTGGTCGATTATTCGTACGAACTGTTGCTGTAGCTTTTTTTAATGGTGTTGAATTTATTGAAGATGGTAATTTCGAACGATTCATATGCATATTATTTATTACAGTTGGTTTAGATTTCGTTGAATTTGATAGAATTTTATTCGTATTTTTCGATGTATGAGAGAGATCTTCAAGAAATGTTGGTGATGGTAAAGAAAAATCTGCATCATCTAAATTAAGTGAATCAGATTTTGATGCAACAGATAATGAACTAGCACTTTGATTATCTAAAGTAGAAAAAAAGAAAAAGAAAATAAAATTTATGAAATTAAAAAATTTACACATACCATCTCGTTTTGTTGGCATAATAAAACTTTTACTCATTTGTTGTTGCTGTTGTTGTTGTTGTTGTTGATGATGACGATTTCCATTCGTAAAATGATACTGATATCCATATGTATTTGTATTATTTGCTGTTCGATAAGATAAATTTCTATCCAATATTTGTAATGAGGGTAATTGTTTTCTGGGTAATGGGGTTGAACCAACTGTTGTTGTTATTGTTGATAATGTTTGATGATTTGTATTGTTAGTATTAGTTGTACGTAAATTTTCTGTTGAACTTAAACATTGTGTAGTGATATTTGATTTTAATTTTGGTGGAGTAATTAATGTTGGCCCACGAATAGTTCCTTTTGTTGATGATGATATTGAGTGATTGGTTTGTGTTTGTAATGATGATGGTGTTGGTGATTTAAGTGGAAAACGTGATACAGGAGTCGGACGATAGATTGATGATGATTGAACTTGTATAGGTACAGATTGAATAGGAAAACGAAACGATTTTGAAACAGGAAGACATGAATGACGTTCAATTGGAATTGAAGTTTGTTGTAATGAAGTCTGTGGTGATGATGATGATTGAATAGATGATGGGGAATCATTAAGAACACGTTCAAGTCGTTGACGTAATTCATCCATATAACTAGCTGATTTAATCGGAGAATTTTCATCATTATCATCAACTTCTACATGTTCATTATTATGTTCATTACTAGCTAATGTACTTGTTGTGACTATAAAAAATTTGAAAAAAAAATTAAAAATTATAAAAGACAATAGAAGACAAAGTCTTACGTATACTAGTACAAGAACTTGGTTGAGGTGACATAGGTGAATGTGTACTGTTATATTGATTATGAGAATTGGTGTTAGTTGGTAAGATAGGTATTCGATTGAGAACTTGTCGATCACGTATTGATGAACATGGCATCGGTGACGAGCATAGTTCGTTATTATTACGATTATTTTGTTGTTCATTCGATGTTCCTGAACGAGCAGCACACACAGCAGCAAATCGACCTTTAAAATTAATTTGCATTGTTTTTTTGCTTATATCAAAACATTAGTTTACCTGACGATCGATAAATATTCATTGCTTTTTCCATAAGAAAATAATTAATTTTTAATTGTTGTCCAAACTAACAAAAAAAAAAGACACGTACAAGAATTATTTTGATAATTGAAATCAAAATCTTTGAAATATACTTTAGCAATACGAATACTTGTTATCCATCGATCAAATTCATTTTTGGTATCAACACACATATATTTAATATATTTTGAACTTTTTTTTTGAATTAATGGATGCTAAAAAAAATAGAATAAATTTCTTTCTTTTTTTTTTTTCTTGATTTGCAATATTCAAAAACTATCAACCTTAAGTGCAAAACAATAATCGCTAGGTGATTTAAATTTTTTTTTCCAACCAAGTCCAAAAAATAATTCAACATTTTCAAATTTAGCCAAACATACAAGATCTTTCTAAAAATTTAAATATATATAGAACAAAAAATAAATTATTGTTATAAATAAAATATATACTACTTTGCTTTTGCCTTTAGGTACAAAATAAAGACCTGATGAACGAAGAACACAAAAATGTTTTTTCCATGATTTACGAGATTTTTCTTTTAAATAAATAATTCCATCCATATCAGGTGTTTTTAATAATTCATCATAAACGATCATTGTTTCATCTTTAACCTATATATTTATATTGATTTATCATGAAAATTTATATATCTAAAAAGAGAATACGATTAACTTACAAGAAATGAAGTTGTTGCTCGAAAAAGAGCATATTTTTCTGATCGTTTAGTAAATATTAGACGATTAGGTGAAGTTGTTGGCCACATAAGAATAGCTTCAGTTAATTTTTGATGATCTTCAAAAATACGTTCTATAAGAAAAAAAAAAAGTTTTTTTTTTTTTCATATAGATGAAATTTAAATAAATTCTTAATTACCCATATGAAGATCAGGTAAAATTTCTACGAGAGCATAATCAATATCAGGCTCTCGATGATTTTTATGAACAAGTACAAAGAGAACATCACGTATTGACATTGAATCATCAATAAGTATACTCTTTGTTGAACCATCATCATTATATGTACGAATTAGTAATTTTGATGGATGTTGAGAATGAGATGAAATCAAATCATCTTGATCGATGATTATTGATGTCATTTGTTTGGTTGTACTTGTCATTGCTACCATAGAATGACAAGTTACCTAATAAGAATAAAAAATGATTATTTTCAATTTTATGTCGATTATTATTGATTTTTGAATATCAATTTAAACTATGGAAATTAATTGTTGTTCGAACTTTATACGTGGTCATTGTAAAAATATTATTAAGAAATTCTTACTTGTCTCTTTTTTGTTCATTACTAATTGGAACAGCAAGAAACATCGCATTTAATGAGTTTTCAGGAAATAAATCCTGTAAATTTCTTAAATTGTCTCACAGAGTTGCAATCGATTCGGTTTCAAACAAAGCATATTTAAATGTGACCGAAAGGTGGATATGAAGGAAAGACTGGCATCCATATGCGCGCTCGACATAAGCACCTACACTTATCCATATAAAGAAATGTATTGTTTTGCCGCTAATTTTATTCTTAAATATTCTTCATATATTATTATCACTTGTTGATGTGTTTATACGTCTCTCACTTTTTTATATGTAATAAAATATCTTAATCTCACTGGCTGAAAATCTCAAAATAAAATTTTTTCGACAATCACTTTTCGCCATTTTTCTTTCGACATTCTTTTCTCGACATTTTTTTTCGCTATTTTGTCCTTTCACATTTTTTTCTTTCGGCTAAATTAATGCCATTCCAAAAAAACCCAACCGATCCCATCGCTGATATCTCAAGAGAACAGTCACTTAACTGATCAGTCGCTTTCGAATTCGAACTATGTGCATCGTATAAGCTCAAATGAGCTTTAAATATTCTAAAAAGAGTTCGGATCCTTAGCTTATTACTGAGTAAATACTGCAAATTTACGATAGTTTTTTCAACGAATGTCATAGTCATCTCAGAAGAACTAGTTTTTCAATTTCGACTTGAAAATTTTCGTAGAGATAAGTTTTAATGAGAATAGTTTATTGTAAGAGTTTCAGATCTTTTGATTTGCCTCTATCCTGAAACAAGAACATGGAATCTACCATTATAGATGAACGATGTAAAAGATATGCTTGTATCATAGCTATATCTTAAGATAAGAACAACGATAAGATCTGAAACATTCATGAGAAACTATTCTTATTAGGGACTGTTTCTATACGATGTATCAATTCAAAATGCGAAAGTCAGTTTTTCTGAACCACGGTATTCATTTAAAAACTACCGCAAAGATGCACTATCTCAGAAGTAATAAGCTATGAACTTGAACTATATTCGGAGTATTCATAGCTCATTTGGTTCTACATCATGCACATAGTCACGATTGAAAAGCGATTGATGAGTTGAAGGACTTCCTTTGCCAATATTCAAATTTTTTAAAAGTATTATGAAATGAATAAATGAATATGTAATTCTTACAGATTCGTCATGATTAGGTGATGTAACTTTATCGGTTGATCCACTATCACTAAATGCTGAATCGCAATCATCAGTCGTATTTGTTGTTGGAATTTTCGTTGTAAATGATACAGTTGTCGTTGTTGTTTGGTGATTTGTATTCGATGTATTATAAAGATTCGATGTATCATTTGTTATTTCATCGCCAAGTCCACTTGAACAAGCACTTGAACCAGATGAACGTTGTTGTTGAGAATCTATATTGGTTGTTGTACAATCATTAATTGTTAGTGTTAAACTGGCCAGAGCAGCTTCAAGTTGATCTTCAAGTGTACGAAGTTCATTAACACAACCATTTGTATTTGATATTGAAGAAGAAGACGTTATTGACGACGACGGATGATTTGTTGATTGCTCCATCTTATTCGATTTTTTTATTGATGATTGATGATGAGATACTAATGAATGATTTGAACATTCTTCAAATTGAATTTTAAAATCTCGTAATTCAGATATAATTGCGTCAAGTTCAGCGGAATCGTCTTCGTCTAGAGAAAAAAAACAAATCAAGACAAAGATAAATGGTACGATGAAATGAATGACGTGTGTGTGTGTGAACACTATCTCTTTTTATGACCTCTTCAAGCTTATTCACGTAATAATTTGCTCAGTTTGTCTTCATCTCATCGTATTCTTGTCTTTATAACTGTTATTATTCTTCTTCGCAACAGTATTTGATATATGATAATGCCCTTTTTTTCTTTTTTTTTCCTACTCTCATAGATATATATACACAGTTGTTCATTCCCTCCTACGTTTGCATTTCCGATTGACGATTATGACAGACAAAAAAGAAGAAGAAGAAGAAGAAGAAGAAGAAGAAGCAAACAGAACGAACGAATAATGTATGTTCACACATCCTAATTCCGAAGGAAACAGTTGTACTTTCTCTCTTCGCTTTCTATGTATGTGTAACCATTAAAGAGAACACTAGAGGAGTATTATAATAGTTATGTAAGACAAACAGATCAATGTTGTGTGAGCGAATATACACTATTGTACAAGAGATAATGGAATGTTGATGACAGAAGCTTCAAATAATATTTGCCGGCGACAGATAGAGAATAGAAGAAAACTATGACAGATTAGCAGCACTAGAAAATAATATATAAGCTTTGATCCGTATTTGTCTTATATATGTTACCTTCATTTGCATTTTTGAAAGTTATTTCGATGATAGGTTAGTAGTGCAAAGGAAATTAAGAGGAAAAAGAAGGAAAAAGATTCATATTCTTTGAATGCCCTTTTTTTCTTGCAGAATGACTGAACTTGCAAGGACATATTTATAATGATGCCAATATATATTGAGAAAAAGAATAATGATGATGTAATCGTCGGTATCCTATTTCATCACATTACAAACTCGATCCTATCATACGACTGATTCTGGAGAAATTAGAAACAAGAATATATGAGATTTAATTCAGTCTTCTACATAAGTTTTTTTTTTCTTTAAAAGAAGACAATTATAATGTTCTTCAACTATTTCTTAACTTCTTAAGATTGATAGAAAGAAAATTTTATATTTGATTGACACTTACTCATCAATACTTGAATGATTCTATCGTCTCAAATCGCACAATATCGTTCCACATTCTGTCACTCACACATGTACACACGCATTGAAAAGTTTGGTAAGATAGTTCTAACATATTATATAATTTCTCGTTTTCTTTTTCATGCTGTGGAAACATAATATACCGTCCACTCTGTCAAATCTGTCATTATCATGTATTCTTTATAGCATTTCATTGAAATATACTTCCGTTTAGGAAACATTTATTGTTAATTGACGTAAAATATGTTGTTCTTTCTATAATTGGATTTTTGATTTATGTTAACTAAAAATAGAGTATGAAGGAAAACGACTTACCATACAAATGAATTGAAGACGGTGAATATGAACCATCTGTACCATTAATCTGAGTTTTATGCTAAAACAAAATATATAAATAGATATAGAGAGTTCAATCATTTTCAGTTATCAAATTCACCTCAATATTCTCGATATCCATGAAATTTTTAAGTTTGAAGTGAAAAGAATGTGTGTGTATGTGTATATATATATGTACAAAGAATAACTACTTGACAAAAGAATGAGTCAATATACGAACGAAAAAGACAGGGCTACATGATCCTTGCAGTTGTTGAACATTCTTCTCTCTCATGCACTCTTTCTTTAATCGAATCAATATATACATATATAAATGTACGTATACAAATACACAAGCATGAGTAAACTGATGATTGAACACTTAGTGGTCGTTACTCTTGTGCACGCACACATGTCAGAAACAAATACGCAGTACCCAAGAGAAAAAGACATGAAAAACAATTTGATTGAGAACAAATACAGCGCCTCACAGGAGGCAAATTACTCTGGTTAACTTGAATGCTTCGAATAGATAAATAGAAGAAAACATCTTAGACAAGACAAAACGGACGAAACAAACATCTGCGTTTTAGTAATTCTTCATTTGTCTATGCATTTCAAGTAAGCATTGAAAGGAACAAATCTGGAAACAATACGAGAAAATACAAAGAATTATAACAATACAAAAACAGACATATTCTCATTATAGAAAATTAAGCTAATCAATCATATTTATAACGATTTAATATGGTATTCGACTAGAGTTTGATTTAAGATCTTGTTTTTTTTTCTTATACTAAAAAAAAGAAACCGTAATCTTGTTGCTTATAAACAAACACTTCTTTAATCATTTGTTTTAAACTTCATACATAATTCATCAAATAAGAATGAACAAATTCTACGAAACATAATCGAGAATGAGCAAAGAACATGTACAATAAGTTTTGAATAACTCATATCTACATGAGAATAAAAGAGAGGTGAGTGTATACCAAATAACTCGACTATGGCAACAACTAGCAACTTGCACTTTGCAGCAATTGAAAAACGAGAATTTCGAACGTTTGTTTGTCTCGGATACTATATAAGACAAAATTTATCGTAAAGTTTCGCAAAACATCTTTGAAACAATACATGAGAACGATAGTTCAATCTAACGAAATTTTGATGAAAAGTCAGAAAATTTCTTTAAAACCATCAGAAATTCAATATAAATTAGCCGAATCCATAAGTGATTCTGTTTGTTAAGCATGCAAATGTAAGAACATAGTCATTTAAATCATTTTTTGAATTATAGATCCGAAAAACATACCAAATCCAGATTAATATGAAACAAAACATCATTTTCATGGATTTTTTAAAAAATATTTTTCAACAAGGAACACCCTAGTTTCTAATGATTCCTTTGATTTCTATCATTGAAAATTAGTTTTTTTTACTGTTCATCATGAACCTATAGAAACCATCGGCAATGCTTTGAAATGAAGGAAGAGTACAAGAAGTTATTAGGACTCAGAAGCAATCATCCCGAATATTGATAATTATTGAAAATTAAAGAAATCAATAAAAAGCATTCGAAATCGATATATATTACTGCTTTACTTTTAATCTTATTACTGAAGATTTTCAATGATTCAGAGTAACTTCTATTGATTTTTAATGATTTCTAATGACTTCTGATGATTTGAGATAATTTTTTCACTATTTCTAGTCATCATTCGTATTATTAAGATCTCAGAGTGATTTCTAGCATAAGAATCATTTTGGTTCCCCTTGATGTTTGTACTGAGGCGATAGGTTTGAAAGTAAACATTGTCTTATATAGTATCAGACAAAGACAAACTTCCAGAGTTCTTCTTTTTCGATTGCCATAAACTGCAAATGACTAGCTGTTGTGGTTGTTGAATTATCCAACTTACACCCGTCCCTCTTAAATTCTAGTGTGGATATTACTTCAAAAAAAATGATAAAATTATGGTATGCTTTTCTTCGAAATTATTTATTAAGACGGTAGAAATTGTTTAAAAAACATAACAATTTTTCTATGTTGAATAAAATTTTAAAAATCATACCAAATGATCAATGTTTCTTTTATAACCTATATGAAATTTTGTTATTTCGATCTTAATAAAAATAAATATCTCATTAAATTTTGATATTTTATTTTTATTTTTATTTTGAAAATTAAGACTGAACTTTCATGATAATTATTTATACCATAGAGAATAAACCTAAATCATACCCAAAAATATATTCTCTAACCATTCTTTTTCTTTTTGATATATCAGTTCTTCATCGAAAAAATCTTAATGGATTAAGAAGAGTAGAAGAGTTTTGACAAATAAATGTCTGTTAGTTACTCACTTAGTCAGGCAAACAAAAGACAAAATTCTCTTCTGTTTGCATTAAAAAAAATTACGCAAGACTAAAAAAGGAAAATGAAAGTATATGTAACTATATTTTAGTTAATGTTATGTAGAAGTTTGTAAACTAAAAGTAAGTACACAACTATAATAAAAAAAAAATCTTCTTAATGAATAATTTTTATATTCATACATCACTATTTTTTATGATTATCTTTTAATCTCAAGGAGATCTATACATTGTGAATTATAGTATAAGTATGTATACTACTGACAAGGCTACATTTCTACGTGTCAAATCGCTTTTTGAATCGGAGCTATGTGTATAATATAGATTCTAATGAAATAAAAATATTCTGAAAAGAGTTCGAGTAAATAACTTATTGTTGTCGAAATACTGTATTTTTGCTGGATATGTTTTGGCATAGTGCTGTGGTCTCTATCAGAAAAACTGAGTTTCGAAGTTCACATTGAAACTTTGTAGAGAGATAATCCTTAATGAGAATAGCTTATTATAAAAGTTTCAAATTTTTCGATTGTGCCTATTCTGAAATAAGAACGTTGGAATTCGCCGTTGTATGTGAGTGGCGTGGAAAACTTGCTTTGACTATTTCCATATTCTTGGATAGCAGTTTCAAAACTTCTTTTTTCCTGATGCTTCTAAGACAGATAACGACATTCTGTTAAAAAATACAATAAAAATACAGTATCTGGTCAGTAATAAGCTATGGATGTAAAATCTTGTCAGAACATTCTTTACTCATCAGAACCTACATGATATACATAGTTCTGATTCAGAAGGAATTTGACACTCAGAAACAATTTCTCGTTAGTATTATTAGTACTACAGTGAGTTTTCTTAGAGTTAGAATCATTATTATATTGAATTATGTGTCTATTTATACTGAACTTATTAATGATCGATTCAACGTTCAGAAATGATATCATTAGTTTTAAAGGATATTTTAAAAATTAGTATAACAAATATGCAAATATCTAATAAATATATATTGGATCCATGATTTGGCCATGCTTTCAACTGATATAGAATATCAATATTAAAATATACTCGTCGGACTTCTATATTTAAAAGAAAGTTTTCAATATAAAATATAGATTTATTCTTTGAACATTGTTCACTATTAGAAATCTTATTATGATCTTATCAATATTCTTGTTTTATTTCTTTATTTTAGATCACATTAAATGATACACTCTTCATTTATGAAATGTTGGATAGACTTTTTTTATTGTATGAGAACTGTATTACTGGACAATGGTAAATATGTACAATTTTTTATCACACATTGAATTAATGTGTTCAATGATCTATGAAAATTGTGTGAATAGAGGACAAAAGTCATATCTCCGCCTTCTTTTTATACAACGAAATCATGCGTGTCAATGCATTTATGGTGTCTTTCTTCTATCATGCGTTTTCATTTTTTCCTCTTCATATAATTTCATTTTCCCATAAGAAAAACGTGTTATCATGTCCTCGACATGCGTAATTTTTCCTTCAATATAATATATAAGATGTAATCAACTGTGTACATTATATCAAACAAACACTATCACTACCTACTGCTGCTCATTTAATTTATCACCAGGCATTAGTAGCACGAATGCATGTGCGTATTTGCGTCCAAGTATGCGACCTTGACAATACAGTACATCTCGCCTCGTGTTCGTCATTAACCAAACAAATAGACTACTCTTCCTTTCTGATAGATATATGGAACAAAGAAAAAGGAGAGTTCAATATGTAAAAATGACAATAACACACAAAAAGGTCAAATTATGATAGTACTTATACAATCGTGCTCGTGCAAAGAAATAAACCGTAGAATTAGCACGACTGCTCGATGAATGTTTCTTCAAATAGGCGCACGTGCACATACTTCAATAATTTATGGCCTTGTTCTGACATCAATGAGCATTGTACAGTAAATGTCTTCATACGACAATGCTAATCGGATGGGCAGACGATGAAAGGCATATCGATTTTGTAATTTTCCTCGAAGACATTCCCTTATTCTTTCTCTTTCTCTTGCCTTCAAATGCTATTCATTTAGGTTGATTTGCTTTTTTTTATGTCTATTTCCTTCAGTGATCATATTGATTCTCTAATCAGTCTTTTTAGATAACCTTGATAAATATGATCCAATTCCAAATCATTTCCGGCATAGAAGTCAATAGAAAAAAGAATCTTATCGATACGTACTGTTCTTGAACATGTTTGTATAAAGTTTTGTAAAGCTCGATTAGCAGCTCGTTCTTCACCATTCTCTTCAAGATCATCATCATTATCATCAAATTCTTGTTCCGATTCCGATAATTCCGAATCCCAATCAGGAATTGATGGTGAATGATGTAATTGTTGATAATTTTGTGACGACGATAATTGTAATTTTTCAGGTTGAATTGTTAGTTCATCGGATGTCGTCGGTTCATCTTCTTCTTCAATTGACGACATACTGCAACGTCGAACAAGAAGACGATTCATGATGATACTAGTATGTCCTTAGATTGATGATGAAGACAGAATGAATCTAGAATGAACGAAGAAGAGGAAGACCGACAATGACGACAAAATCATCAGAGGAGAAAAGAAGAGAGGAAAAGAGGGACCTATAAAAAAAAAAAGAATTAAACACATGTTGACGCATTTATTGTATGCAGTATATATGTACTATTTTTCCCTCTCTTGCTCTCTGTCTATCATTTTTCAAGAAGCTCTCACACATGTTACTATCCATCGTAGATTGACTATGAAACATAAGCTGAAAAATGTAGGAAACAGGAAAAAAAAGAATTAATTCAGTTAATTGTCACCACTTTCACATGATCAATTCTGTATACAGTAGATATGATTGAAAACTGATAATGAAATAAAAGCAAACATGTTACTATGTGTATTTCTTATATCAATTACAAATATATTAAAAAAAAATGGTTCTTAATATTATATCAATATTGTTTTTCCTTTTATGTGAAAATGTCGCGTTATCTACTTCATTTTAATGCCAATGTCTAGAAACTCATTTTATAATTGATAACTAAAGTTTATTTGCTAGGAACAAAGAATTTCAAACAAGAACGATGAAAAAACAAAAAAGCAGATGTTCATCCATTTTATTAATTCTTAAGATCAGAATCGATAGATTCATACTATCATTGCAGATGAATAAAATGAGATATTTATCTGCATAATACATACTGTGTTCATCTAGTAAGATAGAAGAAAAAAAAAGGAAAAAAAAAACTGAAACGAATTATGTGTGCGTTGGTCTTCATCATGATCCATCCTGTACGCTGTGTCTATATGTGCGATGACAAGTTGATCGATATTCATAAATGGATGCATGCGGCGATGTTTCTCTCTCTTCCTCTCTCTCTCTCTGTCTCTTCTTCTCATCGATAATCATATGTATCAGTACATACGCAACGGTCGATGAGCAATATCTCTCACACACATATCCACACACACATCAATGAACGTTTATTCGTTCTCAGCTTCGATTTCTCACTTTTTTCTTCTATAATCAATACTCTCTCTCTCTTCTCTCTATCATCAATGCATACACAAAGAAAAAGAACGATATGAAGACAATTATTGAAGGATAATAGAGTGTTGGCACATCTTCTTGATTAGCTGCCTACTGATGCTAGTATTGGAATGCGATCGATTTATGCAACATTGTTACATATATATATATACGTATATATATATGTGACATGAACGATCAGGCCTGTGAGCATTCTCAGCCGATAGCAACAAACACCCGACACAATGTGATTGTTGTTTAGCCAACAGGCCATCTATGGCTTGTTAACATTGTCGGCGACGTTTGGTAGGCGATGAGGATGGAAAAAGAAAAAGATGATATCATCTTATCTCATGTCCAGCACCCGTCTTCATGCTTTTTCTTCTCTGTTGTCCATTATAAAGAATAGTGTACTGACAATGCAAAACAAAAATATACTCGTATCAATCACGATAAATTGTTCTAGTTTAAAGTAATTTGGCTAGACAGATATGATCGAAGAATATCTACCTCAATGATGAAAACAATGAATGATAATGATGAGATACACTTGAAAAATGATACGTTTAACATTCAGGTATATTCTTTTATATTCTTGATAAGAGACAGCAGACGAAATTCTCATGAAGAACAATCAATTTTTCTTTTCTTTTTCAATTGTATCTATATAACATTGAATTTTTTATACAATATCTTTCACATAATATTATTATTTTTTTTTCTGTCATTTTCTTTTTATCTATCTCTATACTCTGTGTGATATGCTTGTCAATGAAATGATTATATTGTTAGAAACATTTGACACTAGCTTGTCTTTTTTACTTTGTAATTATCGAAATTTTTCTTATTCTATATAGCCTCCTTCACATTGCTTAAATACATCGACTAAGTAAAGGTGACAATTGTTGATGGATTTATAAAGGTATTATAATTGAATAAGAAAAAAAGAATAAGAAATATGTAAGATTTTCTTTGCAACAAATATATAAGATGAAAAAAAATCAAATAGGACCAAACAAACCTTTTCATCTTTCTATTCACTATTTATTAATATCGTATTCTATTCGAATGAACACAAGGAGAGAAGATCAAAATCTGTTGAAAGAGGCACCAGAAGAAATAGCTTATCGATCAAATATATCTATTATGCAATAAATCGACAGAATGAACGAATACGTATGTGTACCATATGAATGAATCGATACGTTAGATATATGTAAAGTACTGATATTTTACTGTGCTTACCGTATATATATATGTGTGTATGTTTGTTCAATTTAATTGGAAAAAAGAAACAAGAAAAAAAAACGTAAGATTGAATCATATGATTTATATTCGACCTCGATTTATCGGCTATTTATTTTCGACCATAGAATCACACAAGATATGTGTAGCGTTCAAGGTTGATACAAATGTTTGTATGATGAACAGAAGAAAAAAAAGACTTAGTTCATACGGTCATTTAAATGAAAAATGCTTAACAACCATGAAACTTGTTCCAATGACATTTCAGACCGATAAGCAATCAATCTTATTAAACGATTTTAATACATGTCATTTATGATGAAGAAAAAGATTACACATATTAAGCGTTAATATTATAGTTCACTTTTTTTGGCTAGCACCTTGAATTTTGTTCTTGATTACATTATTGGTAAAAGTATTCTATCAGATAATCATCTTTTTTTCATTTTCCTATTTTTTAATAAAATATTTTGTATAGAATTCATTTGTTAATTTATCTTGATGAATGACATATTCGATTAAGTAAATGACAACAATCTTTAATGACAAATAAAAAGAGAAAAACTTTAAATTAAATCAAAATTCATTGAATATGAGGCTAATTTCTTGTTCGTTTTTGTATTATAAAATAAATCTTATATATAATAGATAGTTTAGCTTTATGGTTTAAACTAAACAATAAACATAAACAAATCAATCATGATCTAGGCGCTCATTACATTATTTATTTGATGATCTATTTCTATTCGCTATCTTTCAATGGGTACCACATGTAGCTCATCGAAAACGACAGGTAATGTTTCATCATCAAATCTATCTCAGAAACAACTTGAAAAATTACATGAATTAACAAATATTCCTAAAAGCGAAATATTAGTGTATCATCATCAATTTATTATAGCTAGTCCAAATGGACGAATGACATATACACAATTTGAAAATCAACTTAAAACAATGGGTGCATCAACAGATGGTAGTAGTTCTATATTTAAAATGATTGATAAAGATAATTCAGGTCAAATATCTTTTCAAGAATATCTTCTTTCATTAGTTATGTTTTCTGAACAATCTCAACCAGAACAACAATTAGGTGCTGTTTTTGATACATATCAAGCATTATCTCGACAAAGTTTAAAACAACCATCAAATGATTTATTTATACAAGGAATGACAAGAAATGATATTGAACATATGCTTAAACGAATACATCCAAATTTATCAAAAGAAGAAACTGATAAATTATGTGATCGATTTATGGATGGTGATCAAAATAAAAATGGTTTTATTAGTAAACAAGAATTCATTGCAGCATGTATGAAAAATTCGAAACTTATGGAACAATTAGGACATAAAGATGCTATTATGAAGGATGATAAAAATGAAAATTAAGATTAATTTATTGTACAAAATATACAATAAGAATTAAAATAAATTGTATATACCTATTTTTTGATATGACATATGTACATATTCATGGATTCTAGTAATTATTATCGGGTTATTCATGTGTATCTCTATTCGTAGGTGGAAGAATGTTTGGAATGTAGAGTAGGCTCAATAATATTTATAAAATTCTTGCCCAAAAGTTTAGAATAGGAAACGGACGACTTGTTTTATGTTATTTTGATGAAATACAGTTAATGCCTTCTTTTGTCAACTGATATTTTGCATGATAAAACATGCACTTCAACAAAACACCTCAACATTTGTCTTGAATTAATTTTAACTTTCGACAGAAGAGTTTCTGATTTACATTACAGAAAAATAGAACAATGATGGTACAGCAGCGTTCAAACAAAAAAACAAATTTCATTAAGAAATGTTTCTTAGGAGTGTTAAGTTAGCAATTAAAAGTGAAGAAAATTTTCGGCAGTTGCTAATGTATCTAATTCAAGTTTGCCATATAGATCTTCTTCACTTGTAACAAACAAGTACTACTTCGAGACATTAATAATGTAAGACCTTACATTTAATCATCGAAAATTCAGCATTTCCTGAAAAATGTTTTCTAAATTTGTTTTACTACGAAAATGATAGTATTAGCTGCTGAAAAATTTCAAGTTTGTACAAGAATTTCGATGTACTGCATAAATCTATCAATCTAATGAAATGAGAAACAAACGTTTGAGCTTACTACAGCTTTTGATACCTGAATCTAGCGTATGCTTTAGCTGATCTAAATTTCGTGGCTCCACACCCTATGCCTCTATTTCATCCTCTTTTCACTATTTAAGATATTGTTTTATATTCGAATGAATAATGATTTTACAGAAAATAAATACCAGAAATTTTTCTGGTAGTGACTTTGTATGAATCTACTCTCGACAAAATACTTATGAATCGTATTTTTGATGGACGCTTTCATGAGTAGTCAATCGCAAAAAAATGCAAAGTTCTCCGAAAATTTTTTCGTTCTATAGAATTTTGTACAGTTCGTTGCGCTGATTATTTGAATAAGAAAAAATATTCAAACTTACTTAAAAAGCCCTGACGCTATGACTTATTGAATAAATTCGAATATTTTCTTTTGTCAAGATGATCAGTGCAACGAACTCTACACAGTTCTGCAGACGAAATTTTCTTCTGAAAATCTTGTCTTTTCTGCGGCTAACTACTTATGAAAATATCCATCGAAATACGATTCGCAAGCATTTTCTCGTTGGTAGTATCGTAAAAAGTTGTTTCTTTTTAAACAAAATCAGTATATTATAATTAACTCTCAGTTAAAGAAAAATATTTGTTTGAACTTTTTCCTAGGTCATAAAATAATTAACAACAAGACATACAGAATTCTGGTATGAGAAAATTCTTACATGATTTGTCAATTTTGTATAGACAAAAGTTTTGAATGATTTGCAATTAAATTTTTCTATAAAAGAATGTACAAAGAATTTTCATATTTGTAAACAAAAATAGGGTTGCTGTATGTAACTGATTCTTACCTTATGAATTAAATTCTCTACTAATTTTATTTTAAAGATTTCTTTTTAAGTCAATTGTCTTCTATCGTAAAACAAATGACATTATTCATTGAGAAATTGTTTTTGAAATATTTTGAACCATCAGAAAACATATCAATTTATCTATTTCTATTTATTCATACAATTAACATAAGAATAGATAAAAAAAAAAGTGGTATGTATGCATACTTATTTTACTATAGTCTGAAAAAAAAAAAGATTTTTCTTTTTATTCTGTTCGATGATAACAAAAACTTCGTGTTATTTTTTTTTTGAATATTTAATTATATTAAGATTTTTTTTTGGTGAGTACAACTACGAGTGTAATAATTACAGCTAAAGCAATTATAACAAATATAATAACACCACATATAATTTTTTTTCGACGAGCTGCTGACTAAATATAAAATTTATTTTCCTTATGATATGTTTCAATAAATTTTTTTTTGAAATTTAAATTCATACCTGTAATCCAACAGCTTTACCTAAGCTTTTAGTACTTTGAAAAACTTGCGTTTCAGTTTGAGCAACACTCGATTCAATATTATCTAGAATAAAATTAAAAGTTGAATCAAATTTATTTTTATAATTGAAAACTTACCAATCCTTTGACCATGATCAGAAACAATGTCAGCAAAATCACGATGTATTTCATGCAATTGAACAATATCAGTCTAAAATGAAAAAAAAACAATAGAAATTTTTATTAACTCTTCAAAAAATGAATTTACTTCTAATTGTCGGAATTCACCGTGTCGTTCTTCAACCTGTCTTAGTTGATTTTGATTTGTTTGTTGTAGTTGATCAACACCATAATATATTGGTTCATTAATTTGTCCACGATCGAGCATTTTTCTTTTCTCAAAAATCAACTCAATAGATTATCTAGACAAAAAAAAAATATTTATCTATTATTCTGTTCTGTGTAGCAGTGTTAGACGAAATAACAACATGATGAGAAAAAAGAAAAAGAAAAAGTGATGCATAAATAGATAACAGATAATAGTCCTTTTAAACAGAACAAAGATATCATGATTCAACAATGAAATATCTTCTATAGCAGTGAATATTACTCTTAATGGAAACTTTTTGATGTTGTAAAAAAAAAGACGAATTGATTTAGTTTAACGCAGTAAAAAAATTAGGATTGTGAAAACGTAGCAATAATATCTAATCGAGTCAGTACAACTCATTTATTGTTCTGTTATTCTAAATATTTTTGATTTAAGAGAAAGTCTGTGCATTCATGTTTCATGTGAGATGAGAGAATGAAAAAAACAAAGAAGATAGTAAAATCACGTCATTTCGAACCATAGATGCATAAAAAATAAAATATGTATTGGCAAGATATTTTTGGAAACTCCACACTGAAATCTATTCTTTTTAAGCTTGTTCTGTTGGAATATTTTGCTAAAATAAGCCTCTATGGTTTTGTACTTCTTCCTTTGTTCTGATACTTACAAATCCAAGATGTTGCCGAGTTGAATCGTTTGAACTGAATATGCAAGACACGAAACTCAAGTATAAGTTGAATCTTTGTCAGCTTACGAGTTCATGAGTCAGACATGCACATAGGCTCAATGCTCACGTATCAGGTTTATCATTTCACGCATAATTTACTAGTTAACTCATTCAAAAATTCTGTTTGTCATTTCTTTGCATTCATTTGTTCCACAGGTATTTACTTTTACTATGCATTCTATTCTTTCGTTCGTCTACTATATTCTATTAATAGACATTCCAGTTTCGAAAATCATTAAAAAAACAGAATTGTATCCATAAACTAAAGAATTGTAAATAAATGTTTTACTAATACAATCTGTATTACTCCGGACGTAATTCTTGAGGCAGACTAAGTTCGGTAAATGAATCGAGCAAAATAAATTTGTCATGAATATCTCTGGTAAAGATAACATAATGATTATATGTTAATCAAGTAAAACCTTTATATCAATTGTACATAAATTCACAGAATCATTCATAGTATAAAAGAAGTAACTAGTTTTTCGAAAATGAATTCGTGACGACAAGAACGAAATTGAATCAATGCCAAGTTTTAATCAGAATCGAAACGAAAAAAGGACATTTTCGCAGATATGTAAAAGAAACCTATTGAGTGTATGGTAAGTCTGTGTGTTAAATACGTTATATTAATATTTTAACATAAAGGAAGTGCGGTAATACATTTTCCAAGATATGACTCATAAAAAACTTTGCCTGCAAGTGATTCACAATGATTCATACACAGCAAATATGAGCACTTGTAATCTGATAGAAGACATGCCGTTACCTACATATTTTATGAACCTTGTTGCTGAAACTAATTAGTGTCTAGAATGTTATCGTTCTGGAAAAATACCATCATTGTGAATCAAAAGTTGTAAATAATTGTTGTACGAAAAAAATTTCCGATCGAATATATTTTAATTAAGTATAGGCAAAACAAACATCTTACCATCATGCAGCAAACAAATACCGAGGTTGAAAATGCATGATCGTAAGATTCTTGTGTGATTGTACTCTTAGGTATTATAAGATTCATGAATGACTTTTCAAGGTTTCCTATAGCCTTCTGCACTAAATTTTGTGTTTAATTTTTCGTAGTTAAATGTCCTAATGAACAGATATGAAAGAAGAGGGAAGGAAATAATTCCCACTTCTCCGCTCTTCCTCGTGTGTCCTGAAGAAATACTCATTGTAGATAAACGTTTTTTTTATCACTCCACATACGATCGATTTTCAATTAAAACAATAAACATTGTTTCTATTGGATATGATTGATAAGATTACCTAAAAACAAAAGAAAAATGAGTAATTTATATAGAAAAAGAACTAAGTTATCTTGCATTGAATCGAGAGAACTTTCGCAAGTAAATAAATAATTTAAATTTGATGAAAAACTTAATGGTGTTGAATTAATCGTCAATATGATTTTAGAAAAGACAAAATTAAGAATACAAATAAAGAAAAACTTTTTTAAATCTAATTGATAAAATCATTTAAATGAAGAAATAAATAACTCAAATGCAAAGAACCTTACATCTATCCAGTTAGATCGATATTATGATCGGAAGTAAAGAAGTAAATGATTTAAATGGAAGACACCATAATTTTATTTAATTAAATCAATAAAGTAATCAGTAGGGTGATGCTTTAACAGATAAATACAACTAGACAGACAATGTATTTTCAATTATATAAGATGTAACATCTGGATTAGAACGTATTTAATCGCTTAAACATTATATTAAAATGTATCAATCTCTTGTTACAAAAATTATTTGCATAAGACAAACCTAAAATTATGCTCTTGTAAAATTATAATAGGTTTTACAAGATTCTGACCATCAGACATTTCGAGAATCATTTAAAATACACTTTAGTATTTTATAGAAAGGCATTTGTACGATTCCGTCAGATCATACAGTGTGAGCCTTACGATACTCAGTTGCTTGTAAGACTTTAGTTGGTTTTTGCAAGATTTTTTCACTTAAGCACTGAATATCTACGACTATCGTCTGAGATTGCAGTACATGATCGTATTCAGATAAAATAATCGTGAGTACAGTTGTGCTTATCAAGCAAGCGGGTTTTTCCATTTAAATTCACGAATAAGTAAAAATGCTAAGTATTTCATTTTTAAACAAATTATTTATTGTTCTATTGTTTCGATCAATTTGAACAACAAATTAGATAGCAAGCATCGTTTTCCAGTAAAGAAATAGTACTCCGTGTGTTTCATGGAAGCGGAAGTCAGTTTTTCCATCTTATGTGAGTGGAAACGTATATGTATACGATACTATACCATGTCCTATTCCTTTATGTACGACATGACGGTGTATGATCGTAGAAAGTCGTAATTTATGCTTATACCACTGTTATAATGTTCGGTTTTATGTAAAATTCACAATGATTGATAACGAAATACTAGTATTCACTGGTATGAACATTTATTGATCACTACAGCACAACAAGGACTGATAGACTCGTGCAATTCTCTGTTGATGAACTCATAATCGATTGTTGACAATATCCTGTATGATTTATTTTATATCTGGTATGTTGAATATAACCATAAATTAGAATTGAGAATTGTGTGACAAATTCATTTCATGAAAGATTTGACATTGACAATTTTTAAGTTATGAATTTCGACTATATTGCATAAGAATCGGATGTCAACAAATAAAACTTCTGCCAACAAAAATACACGCAATGATGGTATAGATTTGCTTTCATGTCAAACGTCTCGGTAAGGTGAGAGTCATGCAACCATTATTAAGTTCCTGTTTTTTTTGTTTCCTTAATGTCACGCAAAACGTGAGTATATGAATTCTTTATCTCATATAGAACAATCATAAAAGTAGGACAATAAAAACGACACGATAATTGACTAGAAATTTGTTCACTTTTTTCTCAGTTTTGATAAAATGCAGCCAAAAAACAAGACAAATAACTGATGAGTACACCAATGAATCAAATTTATTTTTTATGCGTAACACTTCAGAATGTTATTGCACCTTTTTTACGCTAGTTGTCGATCGCAGTATTGACAATTCTTTTTAAATCGAATTATTAACTGAGTTTATAAGTTTTTTTTGAACTAATGTTGAATAAAAAAAGGTAAAGTCTAAATCATTGTACATTCAGACATTTTTTGCCTATGGAAGATAGGAAGAGTGCTAAAAATAAGAGTATTATACGGAATTCTATCGAATGTCTAACACTTTTTCCTACACAAACCTTGACTTTGTCATTGTCAATAGTAATTTCTCACACGATTCATTCTTTTTAAACATAGTCAGATATTTTTACATGCAACAACGATGCTTCAATAGGATATGAAAATGATCAATAATGTCTATCGAGAGATCCTATATTTTGGTTGTTTGAAGCAGAAATCTTAAATAAAATTAAATTGATCATGTGTCACGTCAATGGAACGTGTGTATTGATAACTTAAAACTTGAAAATCGTCATAGTAGCGTCGAGCTTGTGAATATATACCACATTTATGTTACATCCAACTCGACAAAAAAGAATGTGTTCAATGTACGACATACAATATTTCATGGAATTCTATCTTCTAAAGTTTAAGAACTATGCGATGTAAGACACATTTGGATTTTTTTAAAGTGAAAAGTCATTTCATAAAACTAACACTCATAATTTTAGAATCGAAAGATGTGTTAACTAAAAGCTTTTGTCATTAATTATTTATTTTCAACTCATTTAATTGAAACTTTTGCCAGTTCTCAAGCAAATCATTAAAATGTCATTTTACATTAATAATATGAAATATTTAAGAAAATAAATCTCTATAATAAGTCTAATTTCTTTAAAAAGCACTACTGTGAATGCTCATATCAATTAATAGTTGACATGTGGAATTAAATATTCAAAAAGATTCAATTCTAAATATTTTGTATAATACTTGATAACCATGTTATAAGGCAAACCTACGATAGAATCAATAATCATTGTAGCAAAAGAATTTTCCATTATATTCCAATTTTATTGAGCAAAATCGTAATTTTATTTTCAAATTAAGTTACTTTTATTATTTACATTCATTTTTATTCATCAATAATCTTAGTTAATATTTATTCAAACTAAATAGTTTTCATTACGCATCATCAGGTTTACGTGTGATAGAAATAGATGAATTTTCTATATAATCTTTTTCTGGATGTCCATAAATGAGATTTGCCAATTCATATTCAAGTTCAGAATCTGTGATTGAAACAATACGTGATGACAAAGGTTGACTTAGTGCTTCGTTGATTAGTATTTGTTCATTAAGAATAATTTCAAGTTCTGAATCGATACTATCTTCATCAAGTTCTGATTTTTGACGTTCACTATCGTTTTTGTCTATGAAACCATCTGTATTTTGTAATTTCTGCAATAATTACTATGAACAATGTATTTCAAGAATTCTGATTTTTTTTAATTCAAAGCATTTTTAGAACTAAATACCTTTGCTAATGATGGAGAAGATCCATTTTTTTGTAGGACTTCATCTAAAATTATGTATGAGTCATACAATAGAAGAAAGAAAGATTTTTTTAACTAACCTTGTATTTTTGGTGGTGTTATTTGAGGTTGATAGCGCTTAGAATATTTTGAACTTTTCTTACCAATACAAGCACCCATGTAGAAAAAAAATAGAGTTGAATAAAACTTATCGTTTATATTTTTCTAGTTAACAACGAATATTATTCTCTAATGTCACTTTCCTTTTGTCTGCCGTCTTAAAGGGTTTTTTTCGTTCGCGTATTGACTCATGCCCTGTTAAATTGTAATAAAAAAAAAAAAAGAGAAATGACATTAGTGTGTTTCATCGAAGTATTATTAATTCTACATAAAGAGAAAAAGAAAGAAAAAGAAAAGTTTCTTTCTTTTGATGTTAAGAAATTGTAAATGAAAGGATAATTATCAAAATAAAATGCATATGATACCCAAATTTTTTTCATTCTGAAATGATTATTTGTACTCGATACAAATAAAATTTTCAGATAAAAAAATTAAACTTCAAATTTTTTTATTGATATTATTAAGAGTAGTGATATTGTTTTGTTGGCGAAAATCTTCTTATAAAGTAGTTTACTATTGAAGTAATACCAACTGAGCTTGTAATATTTGACTTTTGCCGATTAATTTATCGAAGAATATTTTTGTAAATTAAAGTAATTTTTATTTAATTCTAATTCTTATTTATAACATACACAAAAATGAAATCCTCATTATATTATCAACAGATATTAATTGTTTAGAAAGTTTATAAACATAACATTAATTGATAATTATTTTAGTGAAAACAAGAAATATTTTTATGAAAAAGAAAGCTTTAAAAGACTCGTTAGATGAAAAAGACTTTCTACATTATAATGACATATCTGTTAACCTGAAAATAATAAAAATAAACAATCTATTTTATTTAAAAAATGAAGCGCATGCATAGATAATTCTTACTGTCGTCATTATCATAGAAACTATAAAGATGACGTGCAAATTTCTTAAGAGTTACACGTTATCTTCCTACACAGTAACTGTCATCAACAGTAAGTCTTAGCATAATAGGAAACATAATAGAAGCAAAGATGTCTCAAGAAACAACTGTTGATCAAATAGAATCATGTGACAATTCTGAATCTTATATTATTGTTTATTGTAATCGATTAGTTGAACGAACAATCGAGCGAGCACTTGGTTTGTATTTTGTATTAAAAAATTATTTCATTTCTAAATAAGATATTCATGTTTGTTTTCTTTTGTTTAGATATTATCTATGAAGACTCTAATCATATGGATCTAAAGATTCGTGAATGGAGACATTCTAATGATGCAATAAATATTTCAAACAAATGAATAGATTTTTTATTTTATTTATGAACTAAACTACTTTTTTCCTTTTGTCATCTTATTATTGAAAATATATCGATAAAGCGAAAATAACAAATTTTTCATGTTTTTTTTTTTTTTGCTTCTTCCTTTTTCTCGTCATTATTCTTATTGATAGTAAGAAAAAGAAAAGGGTCACATTACTTATGCAAAGCAGGCAAGCGTTGTTTTTTTAATAGTTTTTAGGTTGTTTTTTTCTTTTTCGTTCTACTGTTGACAGAAAAATAGTCATATATCTTAAGTTTTCTTTTTCTTACCTCTACATAGTTATTCCGTTATTTATTAAAGATAAAACTGCACACATTTACTACCATTACTAGACGGTATAAAATTTTAAAAAAAAATGGGCAATCGTCCAGGAAGTATTGTGAGTAAACAAAAACATAAAAAAAGCAACACAAATTTACCCTCACTTCCTTCACAACCAACAGAATCAGCATCAACAACTAAAACAACACATTTTGAAACATTTATACTTGTTTGGCTTGATCCTAATGTTGATTCAAATAACGAAAATTTGCAAACTCAAGAACGCTTACGAGAAATTCTAACATGTCTTATAACATTTGATACAGTTGAAACATGTGAACACTGGCTTAAAAAATGTTCTTCCGATGAAAAAATTATTCTCATTGTATCGGGTACATATGGACGAGAAATTGTACCAAAAATTCATCACTTACAAGCAATAATTACCATTTATATTTATTGTTTGGATGTTGAGCATAATAAAGGTTGGAGTCAAAATTTCGCCAAAATTCGAAATGTTATATCTTCAACAGATACTCTTCTACATGAATTATCTCTTGATCAGATAAATCTTGAAAGTGTTGAAGATTCTAAAGCATTAAAAATTTATAAACATGAACAACAAGTTTGTTCTCTTGATATTAAAACTATGTCATTCGTATATTATCAACTTTTACTTGAAATTCTTATATCTCCGAGCTATATAACAACACAAGGGACGTTTTATGAGCTAATTCATACTCTTCGTCAGTATAGTTCTGATGATCAATATGGTACAAATCTAATTAATGAATTCCAAAAAACATATCATCGAAATAAAGCTGTATCATGGCTTATACGTGATACACCCTTGATACGTTTTGTTAATAAAGCATTACGTGAACAAGATATTGACATGCTTTTTGAATTACGTTTTCTTCTTGTTGATATTCATTCTCAATTAACCACCCATCAAGCACGATCACTCAATGTATATAAATTACAACTTATGTTGAAAAATGAAATGGAAAATATTCGAGCAAATCCAGGTCAATTACTAATTGTAAATGGATTTCTATTTGCATCGACTAATATGTCTCAATTGATGTCTACAATTACGAATAATGATCAATATGAAACAATTTTATTTGATATTAAAGCAGATTTTCGTCCTGGTGTAGTTCCTTTTGCTTTTCTTCGTGATATTGATTCAAGTATACAACATAGAATAGATCGAGAAGTACTTTTTATGTGTGGTTCAATATTTGAAGTTGGTCCATTAATATATGAAGATTCTATATGGAAACTTCAATTAAAATTAGCTAGTGAAAGTGATTCATCAATATTATTTCATATGAAAGAAAAATTGAGAGAAACTAAAAATTTAAGTATTATTGGTGATCTATTAAATCAATACGATCAAGAAGAAAAAGCTAATATTTATTATGCAAGAATTTCTAGTGAACTACCAAAATCTCATACTTTCGTAACACCAACCAATAAACAATCAATTAAAAAGTGTACCAGATCAAATTCTAGTAAACGATCAATTTCTTCTTTTTCAATACAATCTAAAATTGTGATTTCTTTTCTTTGTTTTTTGTTTTAGACTCTTTTCCTAATGTTCCATTTATTCTTGTAAATTTATCTGAACATATGTCTGAATTTGCTTCAGCTGTGTTAAATATTCTTTCTTCTGTAACATCCAAACTTATACATGTTATGAATGATGTATCATCTGATGATTTTTATCAATGGCCTAAAAGACCAATATCAATATTTACCACTGCACAATTCATATCTCCATTAGAAAAAAAAATACCAAAGTATTTAAAAACTTTTGTATTCAGTGATAGCAAAAATAATACTGAACAACAACAATTTACAACTATTGATGAATTAATATGCCGATTAGTTGATGAAATAATTCAACATTATCGATTCGAGGCAAATGAATTTATTAAAATGGAGAATTCAATTAAAGCACAAGAACAATATAAACAAATAAATCGAATTTATCGTGAATTAAGAAAAATCGATGAGAAATTTTCAAAAATTAATTCTTCTGAGAAACAATCGGAAAATATTGCACCAGTATTAATTTGGTTATTATCAAATTTAGGAAATGACGAGAAAGACTCAAAGTTTATTGAAGAAAAGTTCAAAGATAATTTTTCATCATATCTTACTTTTTATGATGAATCTGAATTTCATTCTCGTTTAGTTATCGGAGAAAATGTAACTGATATGTTTATTATCATTTATAGCAATTATGAAGAATTAATTGTACAGAATGTACGTGAATTACCTAATGTTAGATATGTTTATTATTATGGAGAATCAAAAAAGAAGAGTGATAATATTATAACAGATCGAGATGATCTTTTTTATCGTCTAACATCTAATCTTATTGATTATTATGCGAAATTAGGTGAAAAATATCAAACTAATAAACAATCAAAAGAAGCTCGAAAAATATTTTTAAAAGCACAAAAATTGTGTCGCCTTTTATCAGAAAATTGCTTTTCACCAGAGTGATGTGCTTTTTGTTGTTTTTTCTTTTCCATTTTTTAGATGAAAACTATTGATGATATAGTATTCGATGCCAATTATTCACATGCGACCGATCAATTTCTATTGCTTTATGATCATAATACAAATCGAATTGGTCCTTCACCAGTTGTTGAATTGTCCAATGCATTACTTATGACATTTGTACACGTTTTTCGTAACTTTATTCGATGTCAACAATATGTAAGAGATAATAATCAAAAACTGATAACATTATTTATCTCTAATAGAAATATTATTGATTGGAATAATCAATTCGATGAAAATGATCATAATATAGATAAAATACATATTTTTTGTGATACATATTTTGATTACATAAAAATGAAACGATGGGATGGATGTTATAAAACTAAAATTCGAGATGTTTGTTTACCCGATGACATTGATATTAAATTAATGAAATTAGGTGTCGATTATATACATTCAATACTGCCAGAATTTAAACAAGATCGAGGATTATATAACAAATTTTGTGCAGATGCAAGACGATTACTTGGTGCAATAGATCAATTTTTCCAAATTCAAATGGATAATTTAGATGAAAGTTGCAGTGAATCAAAATTCTAGTTAACTACTTTTTTATATACATAGGGCACTACAAAAGTTTTTTCGCCCGACTCTCTTAAAAGACTTGACCAAGAACTAACTATGCCGTTATAATGCCCAGAGATATTTAGGATTGTGTGCAAAATTTCAGACTTCTAAATTTTGTGCTTTGTTGTAGTCTATTATTTCTTTTGTACTAGGTCTACGCGATTTCTAAGATAACACATAACGTGTTTAAGGGTTGCGTTTTGTGTATCAATTTTCAATTCTTTAATAAGTTGTATTAAAAAACCAAAAGATATCACAATCCAAGCACACAAACATTTTCAAAAACGCGTTTAAACGCATAAAAAAGGGCTTAAAATACATAAAAAGTTTTCGTGTTTGGCTCACAATCTCGGTTCCCGACTCCCAGCGGAAAACGACCACTTTTTGCCCTTTTTGTGCGTTTAAACGCGTTTTCAGCAAAAAATGGTGATAAACGCGTGTAAACGCATAAGATGATCATAAACAGTTGTCATCTTTTTCGTACTCATAAATCACAATCATAATTACAATCACAGTTCACGAAAAGGAAAAAGATAACTACTTTTTATGCGTTTATACGAGTTTACAAGCGTATTTTTGCTGAAAACGCGTTTAAACGCACAAAAAGGATAAAAAGTGGTCGTTTTTCGCTGACAGTCCGGAACTGCGATTGTGAGCCAAACAAGTCCACTTTTTATGGATTTTAAGCCCTTTTTCATGCGTTTAAACGCGTTTTTGAAAATGTTTGTCTGCTTGGGAAGATGCAGCGTGCAAAGCTCTACAATTTACATAAGATCGCTTTTTTGATAGTTGCACATTTTGCTCTGAAAATGGACAAAGTTTTGAGCGATCAAATTTCGATGCTGCGAAAAAATAACGCGAAATGAGAAATTTCTTGTTCTTGTTTCACATTTTTATTGCCTATACAGATTGTACGGCTTTTCATGCTGCACCTTGCGACATAATTTGTTTTTATTTACAACAACATATTCGGTGGTAAAAAGATAAAATAAGAAAAAAAGACCTCATTCTGTGTAAAAAAAAGAAAATAGTTGTTGTATGGCAGCAATATGGTTGGTAAAAATTTTCTTCCTTTTGAAAGTAAAAAGTGCAACTATAAAAAAAGTGGTCTGATGTAAATTGTAGAGCTTCGCACACTGCATCTTATGATGTAGTTTGTTTTTCTAACACATCTTATTAAAGGATTGGAAATTGATACACAAAACGCGACCATGTCACCTGCCTCACTGGTACAAAAGAAATAATAGACTACAACAAAGCACAAGATTTAGAAGTCTGAAATTTTGCACATAATCCTAAAGATCCTTGGACCTTATAGCGGTATAGTTAGTTCTTGGTCAAGTCTTTTAAGAGAGTCGGGCGAAAAAACTTTTGTAGTGCCCCATGTAAAATAAAACTTGATTTAAATAAAAAAATACAGCAATATTAACGACTATGTTAAAGTATTATTTGGAATTATAAAGCAGTCAAGTGTATGTGCTTAAAAATTCTATCTTAAAAAATTCAGATATTAGAACGAATACATTTATGTTTACTGTATCGTACCATAAAACTACACTTCCAACAGCCAAGTTGAATCTCGGAAAAGTCCTTTGTCAGAAAACTTATCTATAACTCAGTAACTTTACAAAGCCTATTTCAATTATTAACTTATCAAAATATTTTCAAATGAAAAACTATCTGAATTGAATGATTAGTTCATAAGATTCATTCTGAGCACAAAAAATTACTTCGAAACACTTCTAATCTGGCGAGGGAACGTCTTCAACTGTCAAATCTCTTTTGAGTTCGGACTTTGTGCATAAGATAGACCCTAGTGAGGTGTGAAAAACTTCAAGAGATTAAGTTCCCTTAGGTCTTCTGTTCAGAGTTATAGATATTTTACTGAAATTTTAGTGTAGGACATGCTATATACGAACAAATTGAATGATAGCGTTTCGGCCTGAGATTTTGTCCACAAACAGATCTATTGATGATTAGAATATCCTGAAAATTTCAGCTCAAACGAACATTTCCTTCCCGAGATATTAAAGTCCCAAAAATGGCTCATATAGGATAACAAATGCACACTAAGATAAAATGTGTCGCATGTGTCGCACTTTGCGACACAATGTACGACACATTAATATGCGACACGAGGAGCTCGTTGCGACACATTTCTTCCAGCGGACGTACGACACATTCTTGTGCGACACATGCGACACATTTTTAACACGTGGTTCGAATCCATTTTTCGGCACGAGGATTATTTTTTTTTTGAAAATTCGAATAGTTACTATTTTTTCAGTTAATTTCAAACAGTAGCACCTATTCTTGGAGTTCGAGACGGTAGATCTTAAGATCTAGCTGCCTCGAGACCATTTGATCTCGATCAGACTACTTCGAGGCAGTCCATTCTCGATCATCTAGCGACCTCTCGACATGTTCTCGAATAATAAATGGTCGAGAAATAATCTAGAAAAAAAAGACATATGAAAATGTATAAGTCAAGTACGTCCAATAGGCTCGGTTATATGCAGCTGCACTCGCGAAACAAATCGATGAATGAACGATTGACATATAGGCTATGACACATCTATAATGCGACACATTCTTGTACGACACATTTTTGTAATGGAGTCTGCGACACATTCTTGTACGACACATATATACGACACATTTAAATCCGAGCATGCTCGGATTTTCTTGTTTTTGGGACTTTAATATCTCTGGAAGGAAATGTTCTTTTGAGCTGAAATTTTCAGGGTATTCTAATCATCAATAGATCTGTCTGTGGGCAAAATCTCAGACCGAAACGCCATCATTCAATTTGTTCGTATATAGCATGCGCTAGGCTAAAATTCCAGTAAAATGCCTATAACTCTAGACAGAAGGTCTAAGGGAATTTAATCTTTTGAAGTTTTTCATACCTCACTAGGGTCTATCTTATGCACAAAGTCCGAACTCAAAATGGATTTGACAGTTGAAAATGTTCCCTCGTGAGTAAGCTTGAATTGCCACCAATTTTCCTCCTATATATGATTTATCGCTGGACGTAGCGTGATTTGGTACTCATGAGCAGAAATAGAACTAGTAATTTCCTAGAGAACTACCTTCCTGATTCCTAATCATTAATTTTATGAACAAAGAGAGATTCTTGCACAAAACCAAGCTGCGTTTTCGAATCAGCTCAATTAGTTGCTTAGAAATATCAATAACAGTGAGTCTTCTTGTAAAGCAAAATTGGTTGCTATGCTCTATAAGACTATGATAAATCAGTCTTTTTGTATTTTGTAACAACACAAAACAAATTTGATCCAATTAAAGACAAAGTTTCACTTAATTTTCCTTCATACCTAGTTAATCGTTATCAATAGCACCATATTACATTGATTAGCACAGTCAGCGCCATGTGTTTTTGAGATAACTCAGATTTTGACTCCTAAGTTCCTGTATTTTTTTGGAGACAAGGCACAATTTTGGTGAAAAACCAGGGTGATATTTAGAGTCAAGTTGCCTAGTGGTGTTAAAATCAAACTGACTGTCTTGATTTTGTAGATACTGAAGTTCCCTAACATCCAGTTGCGTTTAAACTTCTACCAAAAGTTCTTCCATGTAAGATTCATCATTGACTAAAATACCCGTTAACGTGAATTGAGTTAGTGGCTCCAAAAAATCCTGATGCATTACCTTCGGATCCTTTTCTTGTTCTTCGTATAATACTCTAACACAAAACTAAAACAATATTCAAAATTAACGTATGAAATTGCGTTGAATAATGTCGTTTGAATATAAATTTTAACGAAATATTTTTTTCGCAAAATGTGGCACGGGTCTCCTCAGACAATTTTTATGAAATTATTTTTTTGAAACAAGTGCTTTACTTTCTTAAAGAAGGTTTCTTACCTAACATGTTATCACTTTCGAGCAATTAAAACTCGCTTTTTTGACCAAAAAAAAGTACACGACCGCCTACTATGCGAAAATTACCTGCTGTGATTGCGTCACTTAGCCATATATGACATCATTCTGTTATCATAGCTATGCTGCAAACGAAAGAAAATTTATACATTTTTTTTTCTCATATCAAACAACGTCTGACAGATAAAACTAAATATTTTATAAATTGCAATGATCTACAATGAACCCATTTCTTTTTCGTTTATGTTACTTGTGATATATACTGTGTCGAGTTAAATGTAGCCACTAAAATTCTGCACGCAACATTATTCGTATATGACTTTATTAGAATATAGTTTTTGATTTTTTTTTTCTTTCTTCTTTTAAATGTACGCCTAACTAATTTTTCTCTCACATGAGTGTCTTAGCAAATAGAATAACACCAGCACTTCGATGGTTTAGTAAGTAAGTGATTGATATTTTTTCGAATCTTATGAACAACAGTTTGTATTACAATATTCTCCCGCGCAAAAATTAAAAACAACTTCTATGATGATTAATAACTCGTGATTGATAAAAAATTCAGGAAGGAGTATAACGAGATTTATGAATTTTTGATAAAAACCACAATTATAACATAGCATGAAAGTTGATACATTCTTTTGTTTTCAAATATTATCATAACAGCGAGCAATATGAAACCATGAAGATTTGAATGGAATATTTATGAAGCTTTATAAACTACAAATGCATTTTTCAAGCATTATATTTGAATACAAAACATACATATTAATGTTTAATCAAGCAGAAAATAAACATGTAAACCAGGACTTGTGTAAATTATATACGATAAGAATTTATTAATTATATCATTACGAATGATGAGATAGTTACAGTTGGGAAGTAATGAGTAGAACAAAGAATAATACGCACGAAATAGTTTTTTTTTTTACTGAACAATGTTAACAAAGTGAAATCTAATTTTTCTGTATTGTATAAAAATAATTTTCTTGGCAATATGATCATAAAATAAGTAGACGCGAGAGTTACATTTCAAGGTGTCAAATAGAAATGGATACTTTTTTTGTTCTGAACTTTTATCAAGAGCAGTCAACAAAAAAAAACAGATGTCATGAGTAGCAATGATAACAGAAATCATGTATACTTTTGTCTTTCTTCGCCAACGAAGAACAGAACATAAATAAACCAATCGTATCCTTTAGTGTACGAAAAAACATGATTTAAGATAAGCTACTTATAAAAGTGTAGGTAGCTTATCTCAAACGAAATACATTTACGCAATGACGAATCGATTAAATCAAATTCAAAACAATTGCAATATTTCTTCCTTATTAACACAAGTAAAGTAAAATTAAATAATAACCAAAAGAAATCTCATAGATTCGTACAACATATATTCTTATTTCTTTTAATAGAAGATCTTCTGTCGCCTACTATTTTGAAGCAGATAAATATGACAGGTGCTCATCTATAAGATTCTTTTTTTTAAATAATTATAACTAAGAAGAATTCCTTAAAAGAAAAGGTATTATAATTTGAAAGATTAAAAAGAGAAGGCAGAATACCTTTTAATTTTTGTATTCGTTGATTTTCAGCTCAATATCCTGAAAATTCAACACACCGCTGATTAATTATATTGGTTAAAATTACAATATTCTAAATAATTACAAGGCATCGTATGTTATATTTGAGACACTATTTCCTTCAAAAAGCCTTTAATACATAAAGTTTTGCGCATTAGAAGAGGAAGGATTCAGATGATAATTACTTAGAATAAGACAAACAAGTTAAAGTAAAGAATTGCATAGTTTCAGTTATCTCTAATGGAATTTCAAATAACTTCTTCTTCTACTGTTTCTATTCAGTTTTAAAAAGCTTCGAAAACTCCCACCAAGTCTAGCGTTACTCTTAAGAAACAATTTTTTCTCATGCTATTATTAGCATATCGGTCACTACGACTTGGAAAAAAAAAGTCATATAACATCATTTATACAATAAAATCAAAGATATTTAAAATGATTAAAATAGATAATGTAGTCGAACAATAGAAAATTCTAGCAAATATTTTAGATATATTAGAGGCAATCTTTGAATTTTCATATTTTTGTCAATAGTTAATATGTTAATTTCTGCCTCTTTTAGCTAGAAGTTAGAATTAAAAGATATGCGCATTAAAACTCATTATCATGACGTCGACAACAGAGTGCATATTGAATCAGAACAAATATTTTACGTCAATGAATACGTCATGACCAGACTCATTCTACAAATTCAAAAGAGAATTATTCAATTTAGTACGTCATCAATGACTCAGATCGTTCGCCATACATCAGTCTGATTCATTATGATTCATCATAAGTTGTAAGGAGTCACTAAAAAAAGATCAGTAAGGCTGATTCTACATTGTTGGTTGAAGTATTCTTTTTCTTTCTTTCGTTCTCTTTTGTGGATATATTTATAATACCAAAGAAAAAAAAGAGATTTATTTTTTATTATGCCAAGCACATGCAACAATAATAATATAATTCTGTCTACCGAACAGTTCCTAATGATGATTAATTATATATTAAGACAAAACGAAAGAATTATTTCATTTTAATATTACAGAACAAGGAAAACATTATAATTTAGTTTGTATAAACAAAAAAAAAGTAAGTGTACACATAAAGAATATTACATATAAAAACATTTCTTGTAACATTTAATAAAATATCATTGAATTAAATATTTAAATGTAGGTTAAATAATCAAATAGTCACTATCAATTGTAAGAGTATTCTATGCAAGGTTTGTTTATGCAATAAAAAAAAAAGAAGGAGTCATCTAGACGTAGCGAGTTTTTTTCTTGTGGCCGACAAGGTTGTCTTTTCATTTTCTTCTCTTTTTTTCTTTATTCCCCTATATTCAGGTAAGAACAGAAGAAAAACAAAGCACCATAGCATGGTGTTGCTAAGCGTTGCATATATATATACATATAGAAGAACGAGAAATGTGAAAAACATTTTGAAAAGATTCGTTCATTGAAGTGTTCCCATAGTGAAACAACTTAATTAAACTATTGAAATGTGCGATTTACTTCCTATATAAATGTTCGAGATCAAATCACTTATAACATACTTTTTTTGTTATTTTAGTTTTATCCATAAAAAGGTTACTGCAATATAAATGGCTGCCAGACAAAGCAGTGCTGCACGAAAAGCACTAGCAAAAAGATTTGGTAAGTGGATCAAAGTTGTTTTTTCTTCTTACAGTTGTCATATAAAATGTAAACAAAATTTTCATAGAGTCTAGTGTTATTTAAATTTTATTATAGATTTGAAATGATATTTAGTATTTGTTTTTTAGGTAATTTTACAATCACATGTCCTCATTTGACCGATGAAAAAAAAGAAACGACTACTTATACGTAAATATAGATCTTTTTTCTTTTCGTTATTGTGTTATTTTTTTTTTTAAATATATAAATAGTCTTGAAGTACCTTCATTAATGACAACGCTCAACTATCATGGACAAACTATTGAAGCCACTACACAACAATTTGATATTCTTCGAGTACTTGGACGTGGATGTTATGGAACTGTACTTGCTGTAACAATTGAAGGTCATCCAGATGTTCAAATGGCTGTTAAAGTAATAGATTCAAATAGATATTTATTATTATATATACATACATGATTTTTCTGTTATAGAAAATAGCACTTGAAACACAAGAAGAACGTCGAGCATCAACATATACAGATTTAACAACAATTCAAAATGTTGGTTCAAAAAATTATCCATATATTATTTCTTATTATGGAGCAGTCATTGATAAAGTAAACAATATATATTTCGAAATTCTATATTTTTAGTTCGTAATATTATATTTTTAAGGAAGCTAGTGAATTACTTATTTGTGTAGAATTAATGGACGCATCAATGGATAGATTTTATCAAACAATGCATTCTCTTAATATATCATATACAGATCTCGATCATATTTTATGCCGATTAACTCATAATGTAAAATATTTTCTAATTATGATTTTTATAGAATATTAATATTTATTTATTGAATAGATTACATCAGCACTTCATTTTCTCAAAACTTGTCGAATTTTACATCGTGATGTTAAACCTCAAAATATGCTTGTTAATAAACAAGCAGTCTTTAAATTATGTGATTTTGGTATTAGTCGTCAAATGCGTATATCACAATCAATAGCTGTTGGTGCTGTTCAAGGTACTGAAGCATATTTACCGGTATGTAAAAAAAATTTAGTTAATATTTGAAATCATACATATATATATATATATTTATTGTGATATAATAGCCTGAATTGATTGGTGATAGTGGTCAACCTTATGGTATTCGTGCTGATATGTGGGCATTAGGATTAAGTTTATTTGAAATTATTGTTGGAAAACAACCATTTGCAAATATGACTTCGTTTCAAACGATGACCACAATTCGAACATGGGTTCCAGCAGTACCAGCAAATCCAAAAATTTCAAATGATATGAAACATCTTATTACATATTTGTATGTTTATTTTTATGTTTTGTTTGATATTCTTTAATATTTATTATTTATTTTTAGACTTAAAAGAAATGTCGAAGAACGACCAAAAACTTATGTTGAAATACTTGAAATACCATCAATAAAAAATGTTAGTGAAGATCCATCTGATGAAGAAATAACACTTGTAACACATATTCTTGATAACATCCCTCCGTTAAATGAATAATGAAAATATTTTTGTCTTTTATATCGAATAAAAATATTTTGTTTTTGAAGAAACGCACTTTCGTTTTGTTTTCTTTTATTTATATCGAATAATGATGATCGATTTCGTTTGAATACTTTTACAGTTAATAATTATTTTCTTGTAGGATCTCAGTTGAGTACATTATTATGTAAACTTAATCAATATGATCTCACATAGTTGACGTAACAGAAATGGTAAAAATAAAAACTTTTTAATATTAGTAAAATACGCTCTAAGCTAAAAGCTCACACAAATAAATGTTCAAAATAGCTAAGTTAGATGAAGTTGTAGAAAATACCTAGTGGTTCTTCAGTTAGTTTAAAATATGTAGTAGAGCTACATTGAACTTCATTTTCCAAATATTTATCTGGTTGAGTTTTTGGCTCAAAACGAATTTTACCAATATCCAAAAACTCTACAATAATTTTCAGAGAATTTAAGTGATAAAAGTATGAGTTCTAATAAAGGTGATGTATCAAGATGTGCTGAGTCGGATGTTATAAATAATAAGATAGTAAAACGTTATGAACAATTAGATGGTGAGAAATGGTCAACATGTCGATATTCAGGTGAATTATCAATAATAAGTCGTAAAAAAGTTGTCCGATTAAGATCAGCTATTGTTGAATTTAGTTTTATGCTTTTATCAAAAATTCTTAGTCTTAATAAAGTACAAACAAACTTTGTTTCATCGATTTACAGATCCTAACGAAAGAGTCATTCAAATAAGAACACCCTCTAGGTTGTTTGTCAGAACGCTGCGATTTATCTCAATATTTAAATATAGTGATAATGATCATTTACCATCATTAGCTCTTAAAATTCAATTAAGGCACATTTCTGTCTAAAACAATTGAATGACAACATTATTCACACTGATTCCAGATAACAAGTGATACTGGAAAAACTAAAATTAATCATATGTATTGATGAAGCTCATCTTGTTTTCCAACAAATTTAAATTATTATTAAACCTATTCAATCAAAAAGTATTAGTATTGTTTTCTGTATAAAAAATTCAATTGATGTTCCATCATCTATACTTGCTCAATTATAATTTTTTTAAAAATACAACATACTTTGCCAGTATCAATTGAAAAAAAACGAATTAAAACCATGCATGCGCAGCATAAGTCTGGAAAGTTTATCAAACTGTGTTTGATCGATCATATTGTTGAATTACTAATCAATCAAATTTTGTTTCTGTTACATTATACAATAAATATTTTTCAAGAAAAATCTGAGAACTTGTTCAAAGCGAAAAACCACATACTTTCAAAAAAAAACGTTTTTTGTTATTTGATTAGTCTCTATTTCTTAATTATTTTTGAACTACATAAACCATCAGTTTGCCACAATATAAATCATCGTTTCTAGAAACTAGGTACGAAATTAATTATTTTTGTCCATTATTTGTGCTAAATATGTTACGCTATAGAGATATAATTCAAAAACTATTTTTTACCAATGAAAAACGACCAAGTCATTAGCAACAGCAAATTATTCAATTTCTTGCAGTAAATTTAACTTTCAATATACCATTAGAAAGAACATACTTTAAAGTTACATACATCCTCATTACATATACTTGTTTCATTTTCTTGTAATACGAAAAAAAAATGAATTATAGAAATTAGAAAATTATATTTCTTGACGATGAAGGAGCATGGGCTCTTTTTCTAAGGATATTCGCTTTTTAACTTGAAACACTTATCAAATTCGTCCTAGGAAAAATATATGTCGTACAAAACTTATACTTCATATATTGTTCTTTTCAAGAAAAAAAAGAAACATTTGATTGATTTAGAAATTAGTAATATTGATCTATTAGTTTGACATTTATGCAAAGATCTTTGCGTTGGAGGTTGATTCATAATAAATTATCACAACTGGAATTTGTCTTTTCAACCAAAGATCGAAAAAAGATATTAAATGTCAGAAAATTTGCCTATTAATGAATATTATTGTGTCGATGATTTATTGACACATTTGAGTATTGCAGAGAAGAATTTGTTAATTTACTTAATGAAAATAAACTACTGACAATGTTGTGTGTATCTTCTTGTTTTACCATTAGCATGCTGGTAACTATCTACAGAGTTGTTTGCATGATGTGTACATTTCGATTACGTATGAATGTTCTCACATCACAAGAGATTGATACACTCGTTGTTTATTGTCAATTAGTGGCAAAATATATCGAAAGAAGTGATTGCAAGAATGCACATAAAATTTTATCACGACAAATTGATTTATGTCAATGATCTAACAGTGAGTCGAAGAATAGTAAACGTACCTGCAGAAAAGGGAACATGCTCACAACGTAGCACTAAAACTACTAAAAATGAGTTCTCAACTATAATGAAAACCATGGGTAAAACAGTCGACTAGTATCATCAACCATTCAACAACGAACTATAGGAAATAAAAAAAACGAACAAAATAGAATCAAAGGAATACATCTGATAATATATCAACATAAAATACTTTAACAGTTTACATAGTTCTCAATACTGCGACATCAAGAGAAATCAAAAGAGCAGCTGCTAATGCGCTTATAGAATATATATTTGACATATTAGCTTAGACGCGACTAGAGAAACAGAAAGGAATAAGTAAGAAGACAATAAAGAGACAAAATATTGTTCCGAACTAGTTCTACTAACGATTATTCTTAGAACTATTGATTACATATCCCAGGAATTCACGCATAGAAAATGAAGAAAACTTTGCTTCTTTATCTTTTTAAGAGAGAGTCCATGAGAATACCACCAAATATGAACACCACGGGCATTTGACAAATTTCAAAAAATGCGATATTTTGGCATAAAATGAAAAATCATGTTTGAAAACCTACAAATTCAAAATTTTAGCTCAATCTGACAGAGCATTGAAGAGTTATACAGACGACACTGATGATGAGTCAGAATGGTTAAGACCAAAATATCAATTTTTTCATGTTTGTGGTATTTCATCGATTTCTCCTCGATGGTAGGAGCTATCTTTCACTGTGATATCTCAAAATATAGAGGATTTTTTCTTCTATCGAACTGTATATATGACATATTTTTTGAAAGCTCATCAAGACTGAAGAGAGTGAATATACTGAGGGTAGACCACTAAAATAATCAAGTCTGCCGGCAATATTTCGATCAACGATGAATCAAAAAAGTTGTATTCCATTTTTTTGATTCCAGATTCTGAAAGGGCGTGAAAAACTGCATCGAATCATATATATTCCATTTTGATAACTCATTGATTCGGTATTTAATTTTTCGACGCAATCCTATGACCTACAGATACCAATAGAGTTTTTGCATTTTTTTGACTAGTCTTTTATAAATTTCAGTCAGAAAAAATATGATTTCAGTCAAAAATAATAACATATTCGGGATCAGCATTAAAAGCTAAGTTAGTCTAAACGTATTTCAAAGTTTTTCATCAACATTTTCGTTTCGTAAAAATTCACCTGGGGTCCTCCCCAGGGTCCAGTTAAAAAATCAGTTTTATTACAAAATCATTTGAACAGTCGAAAACAAGTTCTGAGCTCATAAAAAGTTAGTAGAAGACAAAAGAACACATAACTAAAATGAACTAAACCATCAAAATGATTTTGTAATAAAACTGATTTTTTAACTGGACCCTGAGGAGGACCCCAGGTGAATTTTTACGAAAAGAAAATGTTGATGAAAAACTTTGAAATACATTTAGACTAACTCAGCCTTTAATGTTGATCCCGAATATGTTATTATTTTTGACTGAAATCACATTTTTTCTGACTGAAATTTATAAAAGACTAGTCAAAAAAATGCAAAAACTCTATTGGTATCTGTAGGCCATAGGATTGCGTCGAAAAATTAAATACCGAATCAATGAGTTATCAAAATGGAATATATATGATTCGATGCAGTTTTTCACGCCCTTTCAGAATCTGGAATCAAAAAAAATGGAATACAACTTTTTTGATTCATCGTTGATCGAAATATTGCCGGCAGACTTGATTATTTTAGTGGTCTACCCTCAGTATATTCACTCTCTTCAGTCTTGATGAACTTTCAAAAAATACGTCATATATACAGTTCGATAGAAGAAAAAATCCTCTATATTTTGAGATATCACAGTGAAAGATAGCTCCTACCATCGAGGAGAAATCGATGAAATACCACAAACATGAAAAAATTGATATTTTGGTCTAAACCATTCTGACTCATCATCAGTGTCGTCTGTATAACTCTTCAATGCTCTGTCAGATTGAGGTAAAATTTTGAATTTGTAGGTTTTCAAACATGATTTTTCATTTTATGCCAAAATATCGCATTTTTTAAATTTGTCAAATGCCTATGATGTTCATATTTGGTGCTATTCTCATGGACTCTCTCTTAAGTTGAAAGGCACTTTTTTGGGTCAAATTTATTCTTAAGGCTTTTTAGTCTTTGGTAACCACTTTGAATCAAATATTTTTACATACTTTTGTAGTAGACACATTGCTCTTTCTACCAAAACAAAGATTAAGTATCTATGAAGATTCGTTGCCATGCTATACTGAAAAGAAAATTAATGCAAAACTTTTGCATCACCAGTTATTTCAATTTTTTTTTCTAAAGTGTATACACAGACGGATAGAATATTTTCATTTGTAACAATTTCCTATCCAGTATCTATTTTCAATCATTATTTTTTATTACTTCTATCTCTCTGTTTCAATGCTTTAATTCTATGTAAATTAATCTGCTTTTGTTCATGTTTTATTTAAATAACAAATTAACAATAATCAATCTATTTGTGTATGAGGAAAATAGTCTTTTATATATTCAGGAATTTGTTGTTTTCCAGTAGAAAAGTTGTCAGAATATCCAGCATATTGTATTTCTGTACATAAAGTTGCATAATTAATTTTTGCACAATTACTTCTTGTTGTATTTCTTGTGAAATTGTATGTCACTTCTTTCACTAATCTATACTTCATATAAACACGAACACCAAATGCTAAATCCATTTTAGTATCGAATAAGAATTGTTCATAATAATCTATGCACGTTTGAATAAGATTAAGTTGTTTAAGATAAGGATATTTAATGATTGATAAATCTTGATTTTCATTCTTTGATTTTCTAAATTGTTTATTAATTTGTTGTTCATGATTACGTATAGTTAATTCTTCCATGAATGGAAATAATTTCTCAATTCGAAGGAAAAATTCATGTTCAAAAGGACGTTCATCATATAGTGACACTTTACGAACATATTTAAATATTCCACCTGGAAAATTATTCGTTATCATATTATAATATTTCAGTTGATATGGATATGAATAAATATGACAATAACCTTTTTTTACTTTTGGAAAATAATCAGTCCAATAGATAATTTGTTTATTGTTAAAATTACTAAATGTCTTTTGAATATATTCATTTGATGGTAAATTAATTTCATTATAAAAACTACTTAATGAACAAATATTAAATGTGAATTTGTTTAATTGTGGCATATGATTAATAATATTCATCTTCAAATCATTACCATCAAAAAATGTTTTTCTTTCACCAACATTAATATTCAAATCAAGCTTTTCTAAATTTGACATTCGTTGTAAAAGTGGTAAAACTAATTCATCATAAACAAATGTTATTATTTCACAGTGTAACCAAAAGCATTTTAAACTAGGTAGTTTCTTCTAGAAGAAAACAATATTATTAATTCATTTAAATTAGATATTAATTCAAAAAATAATTTACCGTATTGTTAACTCTTCTACGCAAATAGCCGATGATACCGAGATCAACATAAAGTGTATGAAGTTGAGTGAAATGTCCATCAAGTAAATAAAGACATTCATACAAACTTCTCAAGCAGACATGTAATTCTAACAAATTTGTAGAAATAACAGTTAGACGTGTAAAAGAAAAGGATATTCGTTCATCGCGAATTGAAGATCGACCAAAATTTAAATATTGTAAATTAGGGAACACAGTAAAGATACGATTAAATATAATTGCATTATTGTTTACTAGATAATGTTGTGTTCTGTCTGTATTAATATCGATAGTAAGTGATAAAAGTTGATTGTTCAATGTACGAATTATGGAAGTTTCATCTAAACAATGAGAAGAGTAAAAAATTATTTTATATAAATACTTATGTTTATGTATACTTTATTCATTTTTTTAATAATGATATAATTTACATATTTGATTTTTTTTCTTTAGACTTATTTATTTATACTGTATCTTAAATGTTATATTAACTATCTATTTTATTCGACATTTTCTTTTTCACAAATTTCTTTGCAACTTTAAATTGGAGATAATAACTACGTCTTTTATTTTTATATACTTACTTAAGTCTCATGGAAAATCATCTCTTTGATGACAATCTTCTTCTCTTCATACTAACAAATACGAATGAAATGAAAAATCATTTTAAACTTGGTAACATCTCTAATTATTTAATTGAGGAAACCAAAAATTTATCTATGAATTTATTTCATTTATAGATTTCATATGTCTATTATTAAAAAAATAAAAAAAAAATATCTTACCAGTAAAAAGATCTAAAGCTGTTTTTTCTTGAATATTATGTAGACTAGTTCCATATAAATTAGGATAATTTGTAACGCGAAGAATACGTTCCATTGAAAGTGATTCAAGATGAAGCCATTGGATTTTTTGATGAATTTTAGGTAAAATATGTAAACAAAATCGATTAAGTATTAGATTAGGTAATGAATAAACTAAATCATCCGATGTAGACATCAAAAGAGCCAAATCATTTGTAAAAATAGAGTCATATACAATTTTATTTAATCGTTTATTGACACCTGATAAAGAATAAAGTATTTCTGCATTAGACAACTTTTTGAAAATATAAATAAGAATTTCATCTGATAAATCATTCAATTGAATACATGAATATTCCATGATCATCTATATCGATATCTATTTTACTCATCTCATAAATATCAGTATTTATATTGACATACTCAAATATTCTCTATCTGACTGATGTCGTCCATAGAAACAATGATACATTTTTCTATAATCTTAATTGATGATGAATCAATGGATAATCATTCGAGTAATTTTTTTTTTCTCTCTCTATTCCCTCGACTGAAGGGGCGATCACATATGAAAAAAAAAAAGATACATTTGTATGTAATCATCGATTGACCTAAATGTAATGGAATTGATTTTTTTAAAGAGGGTGTGGGTGTGGATGGGAGTCTTTCTTAGTACATCCATATCCACATCTACACCCCACCATAAGCATGCGTACTTAGTAGTTACCTGATGATCATTATACTCTTTAGATTTTATCGTACTTCTAATGTATGTTGATGGCCGAATTGGGTAGAAGTTCTTCTTATAAAAAAAAAGAGTATGTGAACTCGAATTTTATCTACGAAAAAATCTTCTGCTTGCACATGCGCTTGTAAGCATATAAGTTTGATTAGGTTAAAAATAAAAAGCTGTTCATAAATACATTTTGATAGATATGAAATTAAAACAGAAATTTTTGAGAACGTCAGTTTTTAACGTCGTTCTCGTTCTCATGTTTCCGTTCTCGAATTCTTTACGGGAATTCCCATTCCCGATTTCCGCGGGAAACGGGATGAGAAAACTCGGGAAAAAATTGTTCCTGCAAGACACCAGTTGAAACATAGATTTTGCAAGTCTTTTTTGTTTCGTAATGTACTGGCTGGTAATTATTTAGAAGAATATAATCAGATGATATGAGACTTAAATTTTATTCGACATCAATAAAAAAAGGAACCGAAATATTTTATCGAAATTCACTATGAATATATTAACTATTCTACTATTTATTGTAGTGTTTGACCATCAAAAATGGTCTTGTCTAGATCTCAGCTCTTATTCACTCAAATCACTCGAAATACATACTAAAGTACCTATCAATCATGCTCTATTTATGCTGTTAAAATCAGGTCTCTATCTCTTGTCGTTTGCGAATGGTTTAAAAAATAAACTATTTTTTTTTTCGCCTATTTCATATGTTTTTATGATTATTCTTCATATTTGCCTTTTCTTCTTTCCTTTTTTTTTGGTTTAAATCAAAAATGTACAGCATGTTTAATTAGCTTTCTTATATTATTTTTGAATGTTCTATCTATGCATAACTTTATTTTCATTTTAGCTGTCGTCGTATCACAAAAATTTGACACTCTGTCAATAGTTCCGAAAAACAGGAAAAAAAACGTGTTCCACTCCTCTTTGAGTCTAGTATGAAGGTAATAAACACCTCAAGTCAAATCTTTCTTCATAAAAAAGATTTATTGATTTGATCGTTTTCGATTACTGAAAATCACACGTTACTAGCTTTTCTCATTTTTGAAAAATTTACATCTTAGTGGAATTCACTGGTATGCGGTACATAATCTGTCCCATTCCTCATGCCTATCTCCTAAAGAAATATCAGATAGAAATAAAGTTATGGTAAAATTTATATGTTGAACAGTACGTCGATATGGTGAAAGATGCTTTAAATTATTTTCATGATTTTTTTTTTTTGTTTTTTTTTACTTATTTCAAAATGTTTTGCAAAAGAACAAAAATATAATAAAGAAAATATATTTTATTTTAATTGATTTACACAAATAATTGCTTTTCGTTTTCGAAAACATTGTTTACAAATATTACACTTGAAAATATATTTCTGAACAAATATGAAAAGATTTTTTCGTTTACTAATCAAAAACAACCAGATTTAGTTTATTGACGATGAAACATACGCCATATTTGAATGAAATTGTTGATAAATTAACATGACATGATGCAAATAAATATAATTGTTGTAAAGCTTGTATAACTTCAGCTTGAACAATTGGTTCAATATGCATTTGTAAAAGATGTTACTAGCTGTTAAACATGATGAACGTAATATTGATATATAATTTGTATTTGTTTGAAGTTCCGGACCAATTGTTATAATTAATGCTCCAAGTAAACGTCCACAACATTGAAATACATCATATTGTGATAGTGAAATTGATAGAAGAATATATAAAATTAATACTAAACATAGTTCAATATATCAACAAAACATCTGTACACTACAATCAGCCATTAATGCTAAAGTATGCAATGCTCATACTTGTACAATTGATGCTGATTGATCTTGTTCAAGTGTAAGATGTATTGATAGATATAAATTTAAATATTATCCTGTACTCATTCCATCAATATAATGATGTAAACATTCAAGTGCTAATGAATAACCTGTACGAAATGAAACATCATGAAATTCTTTCAAACGATCAAAACACATTTGTGTTATATCAGCAACAATATGTCCATCACCAACAACTTGTGTTAAACGACCAAGAGCTTCACCAGCTGCACAACATAACATGGGATTTTGACGACTTAATGTTTGCATAACAAGTGTACAGGCAGTTTTTTTGACATTCTTATCATCGGTTGATGATGATTGTTTCATTTCAGCTAATGTTTTTAATGCGGTTAAGGCAGTTGTAAATATATTAACTTGTACAGCTTCTTGTCGTACATCTTTTGATTGTTTAATCATATCAATAGAATGTTGTAACATATTTAAACGATATTTATCTGATACACGAATAAACATTGTACCATAAAGAGTATTGATACATCAATAACAGCAACATCTAATGGTAATGGATCCGGAATATTTAATTCCACTAGACGAGAATAATAAGCATTGCTAGAATTATTATTTGTTGTTGATGATAAACGAAAAAAATAATTAATAATATTAAACGAAGTTAAAGATGTATCTCGACGATAGAGCATACAATGGGTTATTTAAATTCAATCTGAATTTAAAAAGAAAAAAAGAGCACTTGATTTCAAATTGAAATAGGGGACGAAGAGGACTAAGCTGACTAACTAAGGGGACTAAGGGGACTAACTAAGGGACTAAGGGGACAATTCAGTGAGGAAGCGTGTTTTCCCACCTAACACACCTTTTATTTCAGCGTCGCGGTGTGGGGGCGCGAAGCGCCCCCCGAAGAGCCGCGACCCATGCACGTCTCTGTGTACACCATTATTCCTACCCTTAGGCCGGTTAGTTAGTCCCCTTAGTCCCCTTAGTTATTCCCCTTATTCCCCTTAGTCCCCTTAGTTAGTCAGCTTAGTCCCCTTAGTTCCTCTGTCTTGGTAAAAATGGGCTGTTATTTTTTTTTCGAAATTCAATTTGAATTAAAAAAACCCATAGACTCCTAATTTCACTGCTGTGACTATATTTGACCAGAGATAAGGGTACTAGTCCATCAGATTTATTCAATATCAGGGCGTTTCATTTATAAATCCTGAAATTCTATTAAATTCATACAGTTTTCCAATGTCATCCAAAAAAATCCTGCCGCTGCCGCGATGACTTTTAAAAAAGTCTGCCGCAGCCGCGGTGATTTTTTAAAAAACCTGCCACTGCCGTGCCGCCACCGCCATCGCGGCAGCGGCAGCGCCGCGATGGACATCTCTGTAACGAACTTCATTATTTGAACCATCAAGCGCACGAAAATCTAATGTAACATTTCCTTCAAGTTCATTTGTATACACAAAATTATTTTGATTAATTAAAGCAATTAAACACTAAAATAAAACTTTAAAAAAACCAATCAATTCAAAAATCTGAATAAATACCATTGCAGCAGTTAATCAAACAGACATAGCTCGATCATAAAGATGAGTTTTAGCAACTTTAAATATTTCACGATGAACATTATTAACAGCTGAATCAAGTCCATTAATAATTATACGTTCAAATGTAAATATTATTTCAAAACATATTTGAGAATCAAGCATTTCTTTAATATTTTAAGGAACAGTGGACCAGTTTCTTCATATGATCGACCAACTAATCAACCAAGATGTTCATAAAAATTCAAGCATCGATCTAAAGAAAAAAAAAACAATTCTCGAAAGATTTTCTAGATCAAAAATAGGATGATAGAATAATCATTTGGTACTTGTTCAGATGAACGATGCCTTCGCCTGATTGGTTACATATATGAAGAGGAAAAGAAAGAAAAAAATAAAGAGAGATGGTGTAAGTTCAACTCTACATCGATGACAGCTATCATCGATGTAGCACTATACGCCATCTCTCGTTCTTTTTTTTTTTCTTTTGCTCTTCATGTATGTGACCAATTAAGCGAGGGTAGTGTTCATCTGAAGAAATACCTAGACAATTAATCGAAACAATGTCAAAAAGGAGTGAAGTTGAACCAACATCATTATCATCAACAACAACTTCAGAAATAAAAATATTCTATTATATTGATCATGAAGATCTACCTTACTTAACAAAATTAAATGTAACTGGTTTACCACGTTTAAAAGATTTTAAAAATGCTCTTGGTCGTAATTGTTCAAAATATAAATTTTTCTTTGTTACAAATGATCCATCTATGGGAAAAGTTAGAGAAGAAATTATTAATGATGAAGAAATTTTACCAGTTGATACACAAGATCGTATTCTCGCTTATCTTATTTCCATTGAAGATAGTACAACATCAAGTGATGGTGGTTTAGGAGGAGGAAATAAACAATCCAAACATCTTCATATTCATCGAGATGATACAATATTAACATCAACAACAAACAGTTCATTTAATATTCAACAAGCAAGTCCTGTTGGTTCATTACCATGGATTGTACATACACAACCTGTACAAAATACATATAATAATCCTCAACAACAAATCTTACTTCATCATCAACAATCGTTACTTAATTCAACAACAAGTATGAATTCAACCATATCAAATACAAATAATACAATGGCTGATAATGAACGTATGTCGTTTGATTTTGTAAAGGAAAAGAATTTTTCTCTAGATGTTTATTTTAGGTTTTGGTCTTGGGCCTAATTTAATAGATAATTCTGATATGGCTACTATTGCACGAGCTATGGCTGAACCTGATTCAGGTTTAGATATACGTGATAGAAAATGGCTTAACGTACCTATACCAAAATCATTTCTTGGTATGAAAGAAAAAAAATTATTTTTACAAATAATTAATTTTTATGAATATTATTTTAGGTTCTGATGCAGTTAATTGATTATATAAAAAGGTCTCTGGATTTGTTATTCGAGATGATGCAATAAACTATGCCTCAACTATGCTTCAAGCAGGTTATATTGATGATCCGGTTCATAAATCAATATTTTCTGAAAACTGTTATTATGTTTTTGGCGATATTTATTCACAAGGCAAAAAAAATCTTTTTCTTTTCGAAAGGTTTTAGTTATTTATTTTTAATTTTTATTTATGTATTTCTCAATTAACAGTTGATGAAGAACCTGAGGATTATGAATCTGTTGCTGCTCCAACAAGTACTATTGATCATCGTAGTGGTGATTCATTATTAGCAAAGTTACGTGAAGAAGTGCATTCAGCAATTCAGAGAAGTATTACTGCCAATGAACGTGCACAAAAATTACTTTATATGAATTTATGTCCTGAACAAGAAGTATATTTTTGAAATATTTAATTATTTTTTGGACCATTTAAATTATAGAAGGAATTATGTCAAGTGATTGTTGATATTTGTGCTGAACAAGGAACATACGAAGGTTTTTTTGGTTTACTTTCTCAATCACTTTGTGACTCAAAACCAAAATATATTCAATATTTTGAAGAACTTTTTCAAGATCAATATGAAATTATAAATAGTCTTGAAAATGTTCAATTACCAAATGTTGCAAAATTTTTTGCACATTTACTTTTTAGTAATTCTATTTCCTGGGGAGTATGTATTCATTTTTCATACAATGGATTATTTAAATTCAATCTGAATTTAAAAAGAAAAAAGAGCACTTGATTTCAAATTGAAATAGGGGACTAAGGGGACTAAGGGGACTAAGGAGACAAAGGGGACTAAGGGGACAAAGGGGACTAAGGGGACCAAGCGGACTATTCAGTGAGGAAGCGTGTTTCCCCACCTAACACACCTTTTATTTCAGCATCGCGGCGTGGGGGCGCTTCGCGCCCCCCGAAGAGTCGCGACCCATGCACGTCTCTGTGTACACCATTATTCCTACCCTTAGGCCGGTTAGTTAGTCCTCTTAGTCCCCTTAGTCCCCTTAGTTAGCCACCTTAGTTAGTCACCTTAGTCCCCTTAGTCCCCTTAGTTCTTCTGTCTTGGTAAAAATGGGCTGTTATTTTTTTTTCAAAATTCAATTTGAATTAAAAAACCCATAGACTCTCATTTTTAATATTAAATAATATTTATTCTTTTCTTTCTAGGTACTTGACTGCTTCCATTCAACTGCACAAGATACAATATCATCCGCACGTGTTTATGTCAAAGATTTACTTTTACAATTAGTTGAATTTATTAATAAATCATAAAACGTTCAGTGGTGTTATCTTTCTTTTTTTTTTAATTATATCTTTTTTTTTTCAAATTATATCTTTCTTTTTTTAATTATGTCTTTTTTTTTTCTTCTCATTGTATTGCCCTATTTCTGTAAAAGTTACCGGAAAATTATGTGACGAATATAGATGGACTCAGTGCTTTTTATGCTAATTTCAAATATACCCTTTCATTTTTTATCGGAGAGTCTAATTACTCTGACTTAAATCGACTAAATATCAGTCGAAAACGATATTTTATGACGACCATGAGCATTGTACCTTTCAATGAATTGTCTTGCTTACAATTAAGGTTGAAGCAATAGTATCATTCTGTAGACACTTTAAAGGCCTATCAAATAATGCATAGTTTAAAATGAGTTGTTGCTTTCAAAGGGCAATCATGAGAAAACTTTGTCATGGGTGTTTTCTTATTGTAGATGCAAGTATCTAACGTCGTTTGCAGAAAAAGTGAAAGAAGAATAGTTTGTCATATTCCCATATGCTATTTGGTAGAGAAAAAATTGATTTATAATTTAAACTAAAAGAGAGAAAAACTTTTCAGATGAACACTGCAAAGTATGATGCTATAGGAGATAGATAATATTAAGTTTTGAGTCAGCCATACACAGTCCGAATGAGGTCTAACTGTCTAATTCGAACTACAGTCGACTCCTACTATCGTAATTGATTATTAGAAAAATGAGGAGCATAATTTCGAAAAGGAAACAATTTTCTTGGTTAACGAGCCCCCTTCTCTACTTTTTATTGAAATTAAATTAAATAAAACATTTTTAAATTTGTAATTTCTTCCGAACAGTTTGTTGAATAGCTTCTTTTTCCCAATTTTCTAATTCTCGTTCTTTAATGTTAAATAAATCATTAGTATTTGATACAGGATTATAAAAATAAAATAAACCGTCTTCATTCAATGAAAATCTTGATTTAAATTGGAATGATTTTGAATCTTTATAAATATTGAAATACCATTTTTCAAGTTGAGTATGTTCTGTATCATTTTCTAATTTATAATGATAACATTGATCACAAACAAGTAGAATGATATTTTTAATTTGAATATCTTTTGGATATAATACTAAACCAATTTTTGGTCTTTTACAGAAACAATTATGAATTGAACAACTAAATGAATTTGATGGAGTCGATGCTTGTTTATTAATAGAAAGATTTTCATTATCATCACAATGTAAATTTAAATAAGGTTCTGTTCGTTGCATTGTAGATGATAAAGCCATGAATTTAAAATTCGAGTACTGTCAAGAACTATGAAATTTTTTTTTAATGTTTAAATAAAAATGACATATAACTAACGTATATGCAAGATACAACGAGGCAAAGATAACTATCGTTTTTCTTATTATTATGGATTTCTCCAGTGTATAAATATCCATTTCATGACTCAAAATTATGATAAAAGCAAACATTACGCACGATGATAATGTATATTTTGTGATTAAAATAAACATAGTTTATCTTATTGTTAGGAATTCAGATTATGTAAAGGTGATAATCGACATAATGAAAAAATATCATGCTTGCTCCCATTGTTTTACTACACTCAATGTAAATTTTAGACAAAAATACACCTAAAAGAAGTCATGTAAGACAAACAATGATTCAGCAACGTTTTTTTTTTCTTTTCTATTGTCCTCGATACTATTGTTGTATAGTAATATAGGGTTTTTTTCTCTTTTTTGTTTACTTGTGTATATAAATCAAGGTAGGCGATATTGACTCTTGTCGTTGACGATCAATGTTTTTATTTTGGATTAGTACATTACACCTGTCCTGTCAATCACACAATATTTTCATAACACTTTTGACATAATTCTCCAGATAGAAAGAAAAAGAATATTTGAAATAAGTTTATTGGATCTGACAATATTGACTGTTTTTATCTCATCAAACAATGACATAGAAACAAGAAAGAATTTTCTTAATTGACATCATGAATTTTAAATCTTAAATCGAATTCATCACAACTTAGATTCAGTGTGTTATCCAGCGTGAGAACAATGTCACATCAAAGATGAAGTTCGTTCATGCAGAATCGATACTATCGTGGCAAATATTATGTGTTGGGCTTTCCGGCAGTGAAAACTTGCAAACAAACATTGCTTAAATTTGAATTCATGTCTAATAAAATATTCAATAATATTATTTACACCGAAAAATATTCTCGTTAGTAGTTCTTTGTTTTTCTTCTTGACATACAAAACAATGAACACAAATACATTTCTACATATATAAATATACAGTAAATAACAACTAACAATTATATAATAACTGTTTTGGAACTGTAATTTGTTATAAGAGAATCTGATGAGAATCCGTATGAATTCATTGGTGTTTGCACTGTAGATGGTGATGGCGATTCTAGTTTGGTTTCTAATATCAGATTATCTGTATGCACTCTTAAATGATCACTAAATTTTTTTAAAGGCACCCATTTCATGCATTGCTTCCATAGACATCGTTGAATCTTGAAAAAAAAAGCGATACATCGTTTTTCAACAAAATAAAACTCTTCGTCAATATTACTGTAGATGAATGTTGAACATGAAAAAGACGAGCATGAATAAAAACATCTTCACGACGAGAAAATGGTTGCCGACAAGACGCATACTGTTTAAAAAAAAGAATAAAAAGGTTTAAATCAGAAATATTCATCCGAACCAGGGCTTTCGAATAGGAAGGGAGGTCTTTACAGTTTCTTGATAACTATGGATAGCAACTGGATTTTGAAACATAATTGTCCTTTTTCAGATGAAAAGTGAAATAAAAATAAGCAGACAATCTTGTTGTCAAATGGATGGGAGAAGCTCCGAAGAAGGGACAGTCTCGTGGCAATTTGTCTGCTCTGGAAGAAGCCAGATCACAGTAAGTTTCGTCTTTCTCTCTAAAGAACCAAAAATAGTTCAGAAACTCATACTAAAGGAATAAAACCTTCAACTCAGACGTATAAGCTAGACCAATACAAAAAAAAACAGACGAAAAATACTATTATCAAACTGCTAATAATTACAAAGACGCATATGTTTGTCTGATACATGTAATGTATGAACTAGAAGTTCTTTTCAAAATTATAATTGTCAGATACATAGATTTTCACCGAATTTGACCGAAACTAATTCTGACACAAATTAGACACTAAAACAAAAGCATTTGAAGAGTGTTGTACAAGATACACGAAGATCTTACACCCACCCATTATTTTTACTTTTTCTGTCGTTTGATAGTAAATGTTCTAGGAAATAGTCTGCACCCACTTTACTTTTACACGATAGTAGTACGAAAATTGGAAGGGCTACAGATAATTTATGAATTGATATTCTTCTATTTTTCATACAGCTGAACGCTCTATTTTCTTATTATACATTTCTCGACTATTTTTTGTATCGAACAATTTTCATAAATCCCGTCTTTCCTTCCGTCCGAGTTTCTATTGCTATCACTACGAGAATGAAAGTACGTTGTGCTCTTCCTAGTCTCTAAAAATCTGTCAACAATTCTGATCAGAACTTACTTCACATCTATAGACTTGATTAATATCACATTGTAAAACCTCAATTATACCACTTTCCATTCCACAATAGACCTAATTTAAAAAGAAAAAGAAATATTTTAAATCAAAGAAAAAAACCCTTGTATTTTTATATAATACAAGATTATTTTTAAAAATCATTGATATAATCGATTGACTTGTTGTTGTTGTTAATTGTTGTATAAGTTCATGTGTTTGTATATTAAATATTTTAATAAGACCATCAAGTGATGATGCAATTAATAGATGTTGTTGTTGATTCATTGCTATATTTGTTACCGCTTTTTCGAATTCTTTATATTCATATATAATAGCACCATTGAGAAAATTGTGTACAATAATTTTTTTATCTGCTGAACAACTATATAATAGATGATGAATTGAATCAACAATTAACTGACGTGGAGATTTTGTATGACCTTTGTTAATTATCATAGAATTGACATAAAATAAATAAATAATTCAAATTCAAATTTCTATTCTACCTGTTAATGTTAATCGTCGTTGTTCATTAAGTAAAGAAATAACAACAATAGCTCCATCAAAAGATGATGCAATCAATAGATGACGACCATCTGGGTCACGTGTAGCTGCAACTGCTGATACAACATAAGGTGAACATTTAATTGTATGAATAACACACATCTATTATGCGAATAAAAAATAAAAGAAAGTTGAAGAAAGAAAAAATAAAATGAACAAACTTTTTTTAAAGAAATAAATGCAACTTCACCAGAACCTAATCCAACCATTAAAATATGAAATTTAACAGCAGTACAATGTACAGGAGCAGCTAATGTTATTTCACCTTTTGGTTCATGTAATGGATGATCACGATATAATCTTACGGTTTGATCAAAACCAGCAATACATAATATTGTACCACTAAATCTTTTACAATGTGCAACTTGTAATGTTTGTGAACCACCATTTGGTGTAAATATTGGTTGATGACGTGGATGTTCATTAAGTGTTTGAATTTGATAAAATCGTACTTGTCCATTTAATGAACATGAATAAAGTAAACCACGATACATACGTAAACAAACAATAGGACTTTGATGTTTTGTCATTATAATACCAGCTCGTGGTTGTTGATATTTTGTACGTTGATAAGTTTTACCTAATCGACGACGATGCATCATACGCCAAACTTTATAATAATTTACTCGTGGATTGTATTGTATTGATGTTATTTTTGTTGATAATAATGAATCATTATTACCACGACGACGACGTTTAAGAACATTACCAAGGATTTCATGACCAACACTTGTTTGAGGCGTTGTACGAAATAAACCTCCGCATGTACCAAGTAAAAAATCAATCAATTGTGGACCGGATATAGTAATTATTTCATATGATAAATCATTATCAACTTTCTAATATAATGTAGAGAGAAAAAAAACGAAATACATATAGTATTCAGTATTAATAAAGTCCTATATATGAACATTAATAGTTTGATTAGGTTTACATTAAATAAGAAACATTCAAAACTGGCGAATGCCGTTTGACTTGACCTTATGACTACGATTGGATCTTCTTGACATTAACAGCATCCGAAAAGGACTCGCGTCTATAATCCACTTGAGAAGAATTATTTTTGTCAAAGTTAGACATTTCCAAAAATATCAAACTTTGCTTATATATAGAGCTAATCATCATTAAAAACTTCTCAGTACAAAACGACGCAATAATCAAATTTGTTTGAATGGTCCAATATCTCGAGAACTATACGCTCGTTTTCTTTGAAACATTTAATGATTATTAGCTCTATCTGTGAGAAATATTTCTGAATGAAATTCTTTATTGTGATATTATCAGAACTGCTTTACGCTGACAGACAAAAATAACTCTTCACCAGTGGACTCAAATCCTTTTAAGTTTTTCTTAGTCTTACATACGGTCTATTCATACTCATAATATTAGTCTGAATGGCATCTAACAGTTGAGGATGTTCTCTCATAAGAAGAACTATTTTAAAAATAGATTTCTAATGAATTATCAACTGAATACTATTCTAGAGCATTTCAATCATATATTGATTTATAAATTTTCGCATATACCTGTTCATCTGCGATTCGTTCAAGTTGATCACGTACAAAGAAAACTTTCATTTCAAGTGGCATTGTTTGTTCAGGTGATTTTTGAAAATTAATTGAATGTAAACGATTCAGTGCCTTTTTAGTGGATTTATTAAAAAATTGTCGTGTGATTTTATCCATATCTTTTCGTTCAACAAAATGATGTTGTAATTTTGATTGTTGAGCAATTTGTAAACATAATTGTGATAGTATCTCACGACCACGACGAGATGATAATGAACCAAGAAACGTACAATTAAGTGAAGATGATGACGACGAAGATGATGCAGTAGATGTACCAGAACGAGAAGCGCTTGCTGTAGTAACTTCCATTTCGGACATTCTTTCTTTTGGAGGATTTGAAAGATCCAAAAGGTTTGATTTCGATTGAAAAATTTTATGTCAAATCTAGAATAATATGAGCACCAATCCAACAAGAAGTTAATTCATATCTCGTGTAATTCGCAATATCAATTGCTTTCAATCTACCAATGAAATAATGCAGTTTGCCTCGGTGATGTTAAACAATTAATATATCGAATAATCAAGAGTTCTTCGGCATTTTAATCATATTTTAAACACTATTTAGTGTAGTTTTATATGA